CAGCTAACTGATAAGGTATTCTTGAAGAGTTCTGCTTAGAGGAAATAGAAGTAATTATAGTTTGTGGTTGCAAGATTATGGATCATTGCCAGGAAACTGGAAGGATAAACAGTGGTTCAGCATCCCTGGTATTAAGGGAACACAACAAAACAAACAGAAGAGATCTTGAAAAATCTCCAAGTTCAGATTGCCACCAGGATGTTTACAAAACAATCAGTGACTCTTTTCAGAAATGCAGTGGGTTTTCCTTGTCTGTTAGTTTGCCTGTTGTGAACTGTCAAAGTGGTTATGGCAGAAGGAAGCTTAGCTGTACCTTTGTGTCCTCCCAGTAGACTCATGGCTGTGACAAACTAGGGAGGACTCAGAAGGGGAATACTGAAGAAAAACTGCACTTATTTGTCAACTTGCTAGGCTTACTAAAACACTTGTTAGACTAAATTGCCTAAATGATTATTAGGATTTGTTTGATTCCTTGGTTGCCTTTTTTACAGCTTTAAGTTTCTCTGGGTTTGATTGAAGTTCCGCAGGGCATAGCTCCAGACCTTTAGAAATATTTGTCAGTATGATAGTATCACTGCTGATGAAACTGTGTTCAAGAAACATGGAGACAATCAACATAATAGAAGCTTGGGTCCATTTCAGTTTTATTGACAGAAGTTTTCAAGATGATTTTGCACTTTAAGCCTTTAAAAAAATTTTTTTAACTGCTTAACCTTTTGAAATATGACAGTTTTCTATGATGAAGACCTTTGGAAATTACTGCTTACAAATGCTGCTTATTTTGCTAGTATGTAAAAAGTGCCAGAACCTGAGGTGTCTGGTCACTCTTTGTCTCAATAATAAAAATTGAAAGTATCTTCAGGACAGTGAAGCAAGATTTGCAGAGTATTTATATTTCAGACCTTATATTGAAGTTACAGCATAGCTTTTCTTATTTGGGTTGATCAGTACCAGTTCACACTAGCTACAATTACCTCTGTACTTACCTGCAGTCCTTGTGTTGAGAAAACAGCTTTACCATTCAGCTGTGACTCTTGTAGCAGAGATGTAGGCAATAATTTGAGCAGTAGATATTTGGTTCCACAGGGAAGTTGGCTGTGAACAAAATGAGTGTGAATAGTATCTTAACAACTGCTTCCAGAAGAGGTGAGGGTCCTTTCAACCTTCTCACACCAAGGTTCTTTTCACATTCCTCTTTAATGTGTTTATAGCCATAAAACTACTGCCTGCCCCTCTACTTCCAGTACAAGTATCAAAATACTCTGACCTTTTGACTTGTACCAAAACAAGAAATACATAGTTAAAGACAGTTCTTATTCTGTTTGTTGCAGTGGTGCTAGGTCTTGCTTCCTTCTTGTTACCATAAGAATCAAAACAAATGCACAATACTTCTCTATAGGTGAGTGTGTATAAAGTACTATTTTTAGTGTTGTTTATGTACTAAGGCATTTTGAAAAAATAGTCCATATTAAAATATGTCCACTTGATTAACATGCATGAGTCGATTTCTGCAACGCATGCCTGAAATATTCGTGCCAGTGTAGTGAGTGATGTGGTAGATAGTAGCATCTTGGACTGTATGAGGATGCAGTTCCTTTACTTCTTGCACTGGAATAATTTAGACGAGAAATTTTTTTTATATAGGCAGGCTCTTTGTTCCTGTTGTATTAAATGGAAATTAAGTTTGGTCAGCATAGACTTCATTGGTTAAGAATTCTAACATTTCTTGTAGGTGTTAAAATAATTGTAATAATTTCAGGTGACTCTGAGTACCAAGTTTTTGTTATTTTGTATATTCCTGGGAGCTTGTGGAAATGAATGGGAGGAGTAGTGTCCTAGTGAGGTCCATAGCAGCAGGTACATTACCTCCGGTTAAGTGCTGAGAAACAGAGGTCCTGACCTGCCCCAGTGATTTGTTTCAAGTGACTGAACTAGAAAGAAATACAGCTCCCAGGTGCTTTGACAACTTCAAATCCATTTAAGTTTACTCATCCAGTTTATCAGCTATAATTTTTTGTTGGCTTTCTCACACTGTTTACCAGCAAGGAAAACACTCATTAAAACTGTAGGATGGAGATGCATTTTGTACTTAGCGTAATATGTTTGGTATGTCCTGCATTCAGCTGACACAGTGCCAAGTGAAGCACACTGCCTTAGTAAAACTGAAGCCTGTCAAACTTCTGTCATCTGGGAAATAGTTCATTACCTCTGATACCCACATTTTGAGGGATTTAATTTTGGGTGTTTATGGACAAATCATATGTTGTAGTTACAGATGTCTAGTTTCAGACCTTTGAGAAAGGTGAAGCAAGTTGCTTTATACTGCTGTCCTCAATGTACTACTGTATTCCTGTGAGTGCCAGAAAGTCAGTTTTGATTCTAGATGCTTTAAGCTCTAATTGAGAGTCCACAGTAGCTTGTGCTGGTGTCTTGTAGTCTTCAGACAGTACCTGTCTGCTTGTGAGACAAAGAGTAAATGACAATGGTCAGTGTTATGTAATCTTATAAATAGATTCATTGTTTCAGAGGTGCTTATAAATCAAAGAGAACAATAGCTATGAGAGTTGCATTTTCTGAAGAACCTGTCTTTAGGAATCTGATCGTGCTGGCTTTAGAGATCCTTTTGTCTTTTGTGTCTATACCAGATGGTGGGGCTTTATAACCCAAGTCCTGTGATTTGAGCCCACCTCAAAACAGAATGTTAAGCTGAGGTACAAATACAGCCTTTCTCCACTGGCATACCTGTTTTAGTTTAAGGGCATAGTCAAGGTATCAGCTGTCTTTCTGCATATGCAATTTTAAAATTCCTACTGCCTATTTTTTCCCTTCCCCATACAGCATTTGCCTAAAGCAGTAGTTTCCTTTCCACATATTTACCTTGAATTGCATGTGATTATTAGGGCTGAGCAATTTTGTTTGCTGACAAAATACCCTTGCAATGACCTACAGACTTAAAAATAATTATAGAAGAAACTTCAGGCCTGCCACTTAGATCCTCATTTTGTATTTTGCTCTCTATTACCCAGTAGTGTTCTCAGTACAATGTATTGATGGTATCTTCATCTAGAAACAATGCTAATTTATTTCCTCATTTTATTTTTAGCTTCCTTTTTTGATAGATTCAAGATAAACATAGAATAATGTCTGAAATCTGTTTATTTCTGTCCATCCATTGTAAATTCATAGCTGGAAAGCTCCCTGCACTGTATTGCTTTTATGCCAGCCCAGAAAGTAACTGTTTTGCATAGCAGTTCTGTGTAGAGGCAGTCATGAAACAGAAAATATGCATTATACACAGAGGTTAAAGCTTTCATACCTGTGCTGCACTATCGGAAAGGATATGCAGTAATCTGAACGCCAGTCCTATTTTACACCAGTATTTAACGAACACATCTGTATCAATTTTGCTGCATCAACGCAAAACTCCCCAAAGTAGATGACCCTTCAGTTGTTTTGCTGCTTTGACAAATTGTCTGTGGTGGTGTATAGTTATCAAAAGACAGCGACTTCCAGCATGGTTTGGTGCTAACACAAGGCCTGTACTGCTTTGTGGCAACCTTTAGCAGAAGAATGATACAGGGTGGACAGGTGGGGGCAGTAATATCTTAAAGTACTGCAGCCAAATCGGTGAGAACCTGTTTGTTTAAAACCTTTGTTTGAACTTGAATTCGAAAGAGAAAGCATCCACAGCCTGTCATGATGATAAAGATTGCAGAGCAGTTGGAAACAAAAGACTTTTGAGATTAACGCAACAGAATTTGGGCAGCTTCAATTGAACTGCTCTGAATTTATTCTAATGTTGTCCAAGAGAGGCTTTTGCTCTCAGCATTTTGTCTTAGTTGATAAAAGAATATCTGCTTGCAGCCTTCAAGAGTAAGAACTGTAGTAACATAAATTTATGGCATTTCAGAAAGATGGAATATTGTACACAATGAAAGAAAAGCATACAAAAAAAAATAAAGATCTTACCATGTCTTAAAAGTTTAACACAACCTTTCAGACTGTAGTTTCTTTAAACAGTAAAAATGTTATTTGTTTAAAAATACCCTCAAAGAAACAACAACAACAAAAACACCCTAAAACTGACACATGAAAATGAGACGTGATTTAACTTAATTATAAGGCTTGAACAAGGAAACGGCATGTTCTCAGAATGCTTGATTACAGCATTGTTCTTAGGATTTTTTTTTTGTGAGTTGCTTCAGTGAGTCTTAAGGAGAAAAATAAAAGGCTAAGAAAACACGGAAGTACAGTAAACATCTTGAAACACAGTTTCCTTCTTACTGAGAAGCTACCACATGACTTGCTGGAAAAAGCTTGTTTAAAAAAAAAGGGGGGGGCGGGGAAAGCCAGCTTACAGTTGCACTTTGGTAGCATTAAAATTCAATTCTCTGTAAATCTGCTTCTTGAGAAATAATATCCTAGGTGGTCTCTCAAGCAGCATCACTGTGTTTAAGTGTTTTTCATGTCATATGAGTGAATTTAAGGTAAATGCACTGTATTATGTGATAGTCCCAAAAGCTGGTTTGCATTTCTCATTGATAGGTGAAGGCAGAAACAGAATGTACAGTCAGTGTGCAATGGCTTTATAGTCTGAACTTTTAGAAGACATTTATTTTTACTGAATTCTGCAACTTGTGAAGCTAGCTGAGGTACTCAATTTTCCATGGTAATACTCTTTTTTTTTTTGCCAATCTTACTAGAAGATGACTAGGAGCTGATCTGAAATGGGAGCTGGTTTTCAATTAGTCAATATCATATGAATATGAATTTCTCGGTCTTAAAAATCCATGCACAGTAGCCACTTTCATATTTAGATTCCTGCACAGACTCTCTTGTCAAATAGAGCAGGCCCCAGCCATTCCTGTTTGAAGATGGCAGGAGAGTTTTTCAGAGTGACAGAAACGAGTGTCAGCTGTTCTTCAGACCAGTATTTCTTAGAACTATGCCCTTGTACTCTGAAAAAAAATCACCTGTGATTTTATCATATATGTAGAAGTATGGGAGGGCTGATGTTTTTCTCTTAACTTGAAATGAAGGGCTGTTGACCCAGAAAGATATTCTTCTAAACCTCCTAAAGGTTATGTGAAAGCCAGAAGCTAAACCAAATGAACAAACCAACAAAACTCTGGTTATTCCTATTCTTGTCTGTGATCACTCTCGCATTCTCTGCTACATGCCAGATGCAGCAGCCTGTTCTCATGTGTCAGCCATACTTTAGTCTCATGTGACTTGGTCTATGTATGTATGTTGTTGAAATAATTAACCTTTTAGCATCCCCAAATGCTTTACGTGTTTATTCCTCTAATTTTACAGTCTGTGATTATAGATGTTAAGGAAACATGAGGACGGAAGTGGGAAAACAGAATAGAAAAAAGCCTTTGCAGTTAGTTGAGGTTTCTTGGAATGGCTGGTTGCATTTCTATGCAGAATCACACGTAGGCACCTCGGTGTATAATTTTGCTTTCTTTGGATGTATGGTGACTTCTGTTTTAAAGAGGAAAAAATGATACAGTAACAGAAAGATGTGGTGCTAATGGTAGCTTTACTACTTTACAGCAATTTGTGTGGTTTTCTGTTTTTAACCGTATTTCACCTTCTCACTTGAGTGTTAGCAAAGTGTCTGCCTGTCTGATTCTGAAGAGGCTGGTAAGTTGAGCAAAAATTTTCAAACCAAACTGTGTGGCCTATGTTGGGCTTACATCAGTAGTATTTTGGGACAGTTAATCAACTGTATTTTAAGAAAAACAGAAAATAAAGCCTGGAATTCTATAAGCAGTAATTTAGAGGCATGGAGTGGCTGCTGAAAGGAGCACTTTCAATTTTATGTTGAGCTTTGTGAGGGGAATAAAATTAGTTGTACCTGACGAAAAGCAGAACAGCCTGCTTGCAGGTAAACAGACCTGAAGGAAAATGAGCACAACGCAACCTCCAGCAGGTACCACCAGGGTTGCTGACTGGAGTGTAAGAAGCCGCTGGAGTCTATTTTATGTATCCTGAAGTGGGACTTGGCGGGGAGAGGTGGCACAGGAGAAGTGTGACAGTGCAAAGCAGGGGCCGTTCCAGAGCTGATCCAGGCCCCCTGCAGCAGGGCTGGTCCCCTGAAAGCAGCCAGGGCACTGTGTGCTTTCTGTTCCTTCCACTCATCCTTTAATTCCTGTTTTTGAGCTGTGACTGAAGGGTCTCTGCTCGTGGGGTCCTGCAGGAAGTCTGCATAAGGTTTTAGAGAGGATGGATATTCGAGATGCTTCTTCGGAATTCTCACTTCTGCTCCATAAACCAGCTTTTACAATCAAAGCTTGCAGCAGCTGTGCTAAGCTAAGCTTTATGAGGAAGCAGAGTAACCTTTTAGGAGGGTGACGTTCGTTTTGATTTTATATTCCTCTGTCATTTTATAGCCAAAAGAGGGAGAAAAGTCATACGAAAGTCGACGCGAGACGCGGCCGAGCTGCCCCGCATCTGCCGCGCTGCCTCCCGCCATCTTTGCCCCCCGCCGCCGCCGGCCGAGCAGCCGTTAACGGTCGGGGAGAGAAGGCGCGCGGCCGTCCCGCCCCCACCACCAACGGCCGGTGACGGCCTGAAGCGCCGCCTCAGCGCTTCTGAGGCCGTTTGGCGGGCGGCACATTCTGTTGTGCTCCGGCCTCCCGCAGCGGCCATGGGCCGCGCCGCCATGCTTCTGCTGCTGATAATGATAATGATGATGGCGGCGGGGGGGGCGGCCGCGGGCGGCCCCGAGGTCCACAGCCTGCGGGGTATCTGGCGGCTGGGCAACGGGAACGGCTCACTGTCGCTCCGAGGGGAGGTGCCGGGTTGCGTGCATACCGCCCTGCTCCGCCGGGGCCTCATCCAGGTACGGCCGCGTGCTGCGGGCAGAGGTCGGCGGGGTGTGGCGGAGTCTGAGGAGGCTCCTCGGTGCCTGCCGTGGTGGATCCCGGCGCACGCCTCAAACCCACCTCCTCCCTTCGGAGCTGCATCTGGCGCTGCAGGTCTTGCTTGTACAGCAGTGCCCCTCTAGTGGCAAAGGCCTTGGTGTCCGCAGCACACAGCGTCTCAGGTGGGTCACCACCACAGAGCAGCTTGAAACGGGACCAGGGGTGCACATAAGGCAGCTCGTGCTTTACGTGCATGAGGTTCTCTAGGTTTGACACCGAACCAAGCTGCAGACACCGAGTAGGAACATCAGCATCACAGGGTGTCAGTCATGGTTACTGGTAATGTTACCTGAAAAGGGAAGAATCCTCAGCCTGCCCTGCTGAAATTGGGCTTGTTGATGTACAGGGATTTCAGGCGTTTCAGCCCTTTAAACGTCTCGTTTAACACATGCAGAGTACATCAAAACAGCTGAGATTGCACACTCCCATGCTTCCTAAGGAAAGTATATTCTGAACCATGACAAAGTTGATCTCACTGAAACACCTAGTTCCTTCTCAAAGCTTTGCTTTATCTGCTTGTTACTGCTTCTTTCAGTTCTTAGATTTACAAAAACATGGTGACCATTTCCTGGGACAAATGATCAAAACTGCAGTTGTAGATTGGTGGCAAAGTTTATACTGATTACATCATAGATTGCTTGTGACTCAGCACAAGGAGTGTGGCAGTAAGCAAGGCTGGGTCATTCTTACGATGCCTTTTTAAAAGGAAATACATAGAATGTGAGTGAAACTAAAAAGATAGGACATTATGAGGTTAACAAAATTTGTAAAACTGAGATATATTCTGCTATCCTAGAAAATGTGAAATAGTATCCTGTTATCTGAGTACATCAGACATACTTGAATGTGATGTTTATTATGGGCCCAGGGTCGCATTTCTTGTACAGCGATAATTTAAAAATTCAATTCTAGATGCCTGCACCTTGCATTTTCTATTCTTTAATATTTATGGTTTATACTACTACCCTGCTCTGCTCCGATTAAAATTAGATATAAAGAAAAAATGACTCTGAGGAGGATAATTTTAGCACTGTTTTGTGTTGGTGTATGTTGGGAATCCCAACGCTAATAATGGATTGCAACAAAAGTAATTGCCAGATAAAGCAAGCAGAATCATAGAATGGCTTTGTTTGGAAAGGACATTAAAGATCATTTAGTTTCATAGTCAACATTGAAAAAGAAAACACACTAAGATGGAATAATATGAGCCACTATGGTGTAGTGTTACAACATCTTGTGTGCTAAGTGACAAGACATTTGAAACTTGAATAATTAAGGTGTTAAAATGGTTTTTCAAAGCAAGTTTTAAAAAACTGCAGCAGGCATTGGGGAATGCGTGGAAGATCAGTAATGAGGGCTGTGCCGGTTTCTCCCATGCAAAGTTCCTATGATAAGCTGAATGTCTCAGCTGTTTGGCTGTGCTGTGAGGCATCGCGTTGATAAGGATGAGTAATCGTTCAGGAGAAACTGTGACCAACGCACTGAGTCGAACTCACAAGTTACTGCTGTAATGAAAGACTGGCATTTAACTACTCACTCATTAAGTACTCTAACAAAGTTAGAAAATGTGTTTGCTATTTAGCTGCATTGCTCTAAGCTGACTCGTAATGTTGGTCATTTTAAGCAGCAGTATGGCATTTGGAAACGAGTCTGTGATCACGAACTTTCATGTGCCTGTGCAGAATCCTGAGCTGCACACAGATATGATCTTAGTCAGCCTGCTGGCCCAGTCAGCTGCAGGACATGTCTTGCTAATGGATGGCTGGGCACTGGGCTAATTAAATCAATGACTGTTGCTTGTTGCCACTCACAACATGTTTATGCATATGCAAGTATGAACTTGCTTGGGGCATGTGCTGATATGCTTGGCTGTGTACTGGAAGCTGTGGCAAGTAGAATGAGCGCATTCTGCCCAGGAAAGGAGTGGACCATTTTGCTCACCAGTGTGTTTGCATGGCTGCAGTTTTGGTACCTCAGGAGGTGTTCTGTTGTTTTTCCTTACTGACATGTGCAGGCAACTTAAGATCAATTCAAATCCAAAGCTATCCAGCATGGCAAAGGAATGGATTTACAGGAAGCATTTGCACAAATAATTCCACCTAATAACTAATTTTTAAAAAATTGCATTTTGTTTAAATGATACAACGGAGAGCATACAAAAACATGGGAGCAACCGTAGCAGATTTCACAAGCTGCCACTAGTGGTGTGAAATGTAGTCATTCCCTGCCTCTGAAGAGCAGCAAATCTGCTCTGCTTGGAGGGATCTGGTGAGGTCATTCTTCATGGCAACTCCTGCCTTCATTTTGCAAAGTGCAGATCAGCTGCTTGTCCTGAGGTTTCTTTGCTATGGTGAAAATGTTTATGGCCAAATATTTTAAATGCAGTTGCCTAAAGTCATACCCTTAAATTTGTATTTATACAGGAGTATGTATACAGCCTGAATTTTAGAGGCTCTGTTTCATCAGTGATTATTATCTCTGGAAATCAGATTGGTTAGGGGTTGTGTCAAATTTAGAATTAGGAGTTTTATTATAATTGCCTAAACACAAAAGCTTTAGTCATATGTGTCTCTTCTTCCTTTTGCGCTCTGCTGTGGAATGAAGGACTTTAATACATCCTACAGAAAATGCCAGCAAACCAGCAATCCCAAAGCTTTCTACTTGTAATCAAAGTGAAGATTGGTCTGAAAAGCTGTACCAGCAAACAGAGCAGAGCTGGTGGGAATTGAGTTGTTCTGCATAGCAAGACCCATATGTTCAGAGACCCAGTGAAACCTTTTTGCTGTTTTCCAGTGTGATTTTCAAAAGGCAAAAAGCACTGTGCCCTCTGCCTCTTTATCCTTGTGAATTTTTCGTGGGTTAGCACTCACTCTGGAAATCTGAATTAAATGAGTCTTGAGAGAGTCTGTTCCAGCAGCATAACTTAGTCAGTACCCCAAAATGAGCGGAAGGGGGGCAACAAGAATAAACTGCTGAACTCTAAGCCTACAGATGGGGCTTGGATTACAAGAATAAGCTGCAAGCAACTTATTTGTCTCTGTGTGGTTCATTTTAAACTTAGTGTTTTTCCCAGGCATGCTCTAGCTGCTTTCATGTACTTAGCTTTACTTTAATCTGCCATGCAGGCTATACATTAGAATAGAAAGAAATCTCTGACACTGAAGGCTTGCTACTATCTCTCTGGATCCTCTTAGAATTCCTTCTAGAAATGTTGCTACTCTTTGACTTATCAAATATACATTGGATGAGCCCATCTTCTTGAATGCACCAAATATACATCTTGGGAAAATGCTCGTGGGGAAGATGCTTCTGTATTTCCTACTAAAGTATTGTTTTTCCTGTATTCAAGCAGCACAGTTCAAGTGCTGAATTAACTGCAATGAAAGCTCTAAGGAAAGGAGATGGCATCAGGATATTTGTTTGGCTGTTTGTTTTTTAATTAAATTTCATTATGAATCACTAGCCATTATTAGAGTTAATGTGTAAAATTTAAAAAACATGGGACAAATGCACATAAACAAGGGTAACAGTCTCTTGAATAAAGTCACTGCAAAGCTTGGACGTAAGTGCAGACAATTTACAAACTTGCAGCAAATCTGTTCCTAACCCCTGTATCCCTGGAAAAAGATTTGTAGAAATCATCTCATCTGAAGATGTTTTTAACTACACTGTCAGCCTTGTGTTTTCTTTCAGGCAACATTCTGGTAAACACGATCTCTAAGGAGCTAAACTGTGTTAAATCTTTGCACCAGAAACAGCAGTCGTCTAGCACTGGCCAAGTACTTCATGATGCCGTTACATGAACACCAGTAAAATTTCACTTGTAGTGAATATGGCTATTGTAGCTGGATTTTCTCATCTGCAAGCCATTTCCATTCATACAGAAAGGGTATTTTGTCTTATTAGCCATCGCTGTGACTTGTAAAGAGCTGCTGGGGGGGGGGGGGGGGGGGGGGGTGTAACAGGGATGCTAACACAGGGGCTGGATATCACTGTAGTTTCTGCCCTGTTGTACAGTGAAGGCATGCACTTGACAGTGGGTTACAACGGTCTTGGTTCTGCTTGGGTATTAAAATATACGAGAGGTTTACATATCTCAAGTGATAGTTCTGTAGTTCTGTAAAGCAGTGCATATTTTGGTAGCTTGTGCATTTGTATGAAGAACCTTGCTTTGTGTTTACTGGTACTTTTTCATAGCTCAGATTTTTCAGTGCAAGTCAGATAACAACTGTGTTGGTTATCATATGGTTCTAGCAGATTAAATGGCAGTCAGCAATGAAGTAGCTCATTAATATAAATAGATCATTTTCTGTTGAAATATTTGTGTTCTGTTGACTTGTATGAACATATGTGAAAGCATCCAAAAGCCTTGGTGAAGCCTAGGATGAGTATTAAAGGACAGTCATGTTTCAGTAGCTGTTCTCTTTTGGACACTTATAAAATTAGAGTAGATAAAAGTTATAGCAGCCTTTTAAATACAGCAGAGCATTTAGAGAATATTAAGCAGTGAGTATTAGCATCTTGTCAATTATCCTAATATTAGTTTTCCAGATGTATTCTGCCACAGTATTTGGCTCAGTGTTCAGCTGTAAAACATCTTGACCATAAGATGACATTCAGTTAACTGCTTTGTTGGAGCAAGTACTGAAAATGGATCACTTCTGGATGAGCTTCCAAAACCTGTGTTCCAGGAATCTGATCCATTCATCATTGCTGCTGGGTTCTGCTTCACTTACAACTGTAAATAAGTGGAACAACTCTTGCTGCAATCTCTGTAGCTAGTGATATGGAAGAGAGCATCGATAGAGGTAAATGTTGTAACAGTTTGAGTTTGAAGTTGGCAACAGCAAAACATTAAGCTGTAAATAGTGAAGCATTTTTTGAAGATTTCATTTTGGTAATCTGTGACTTCGGCTGGATTTTCTTAATGATGTACATTCTAAAATGTCAGCAGGGGGGCATGCAAGTTGGTTTCAAATTAGATAATAACTAAAGCAGACAAAAGGAAAAGAATCTGTTTTTTGTTGTCTTTATTACATTTCCCTTTCTTACAAGCTGATCTGCCTGGATGCAGCTGATGGATGTGGCTTTCAGTGTTTTACTGTGCTCCCCTCGATCCCTGGCTGCACAGGGCGCTGGAACTGGGTCTGTGAGGGCCACTACATGCCTGGCTGTGATTGCTTGGGCTCTGAACCTCGCTTAAGGTGTGGTCATGTCTCATCCATCTCCTGCTAAACAAGAGAGGTGCTTAACTCCTATGAGTGTAGCCTTTAACTATCCCCTTAAAATCATTGCAAGGAGGAGCTGACACAAAACACTTGGCAGTTTTGTACTGTTGATCCCTTTAATGTCCCGCTACCTAAATCGGAGATGGCTTCCATTTAATGCTCTTTAGCAGGGCTTCATCCTGGCAGGCTGTTTGCTTCTTGCTTACAGCACTGAAACTTGGAGCAGAGAGCAATTAGGAGGGGAGCTTGAGTAGTTCAGATTTTTTTCCAGAATTGAGCAGGAGAATGGGAGCAGGAAAATGAAAGGCTGTCATGTTACAAGGGCACTAAAAATAGCTGTAGTTGTCTCCACCCCATTATGGCTTGCTTTCAAAAACATGTTGACCTAATGAATGAATGTGAAGTATATTACATTCATGTGCAGTCTGTTTTGTGGCATCCTTAAGGTTCTCCCAGTGATTCTTACATTCGTCTTTTTTTTTTTTTTTTTTTTTTTAATCCAGTTTCCTAAAAGAAACCTTTAATTTTGATGTGAGCAGATGTAATGTGCGATTTCACATAAATCCCAACGGTTTGAGTTCTGTAGATACATCTTCCAGCACTTGAAACCAGCTACATTTAGTAATGAAAGCATCAATAATCTCATGAATTATTGGAGAAGTCGTTTTCCTTTCTTACAGGACTTTGTTGTGGTCACGCATTTTCTCTGAAGCTTTGGAATTGCCTGGAAAGCATCACTTGAATATCACCACATGGTTGAATCTACAAGCAACATTTGTCTTGCTTTAAAATGACTATCTAGTATTAGCATTAAGTAGCTTTTCTGTATGTTGTGTTGGCCGTTTTCCCAGTTATAAAGCAGCAGCATCAATAAGTTTTAGGTAAAGGGATACAGGTCTATGACCTTCCCATTTGAAAAGGTGAATGTCAGAGGCCTGAAGGAAAATGGTATGAGTTAGAAGAGTGTTCATTAGCAGCTTGTATGACACGCATTTTGGCAGTCGACACATGAAGTCTGAAGTCTTCAGACTGATACAGAATAAATCTCCTTCTGGAAAAGAACCTGTAGAACTCTGAGTGGATTTGAACAAGCAATGCTGTTTGTACACTTCTATAGGAGCCCATCCGAAGATGTCTTTTCTGTCACTGGTGAAACATTCCTACATTTCTCTTATCTGTTAGACGGTTTTGTTCTCCAGATGTCAGGTCTTCCAGGCCTTTCTTTTCTAACATCTCTAATCCATCCATGCTTTTCTAGCTTTTTTTTTTTTTTTTTAATGTAAGGTCTTTGTCTTTAATTGAGGCACTGGTGTTGCTTGGCCACTGACCAGTGTTTGGCTTTATGTTCCGCTGTTGGTAGTGCCTTTCCAACTTGCCTCTCATGTCTTTTGTTAAATATTTCACATATACAAGTGGCAATGATTGAAATTTAACACCTGCATTTTCAGAAATTTAGCCTAAGATGAAATATATATAATGTTAAAGCAAGACAAATGTTAAAAATAAGTATTTTTAAGGATACAGCATTCGTTTTTATAGACTGTTACATTTGCAGGTTGCCTTTGGTTCTCTGAATGTAGTAACCTTACCAGAGTTTCTTTTATTAATCTGAACTTTGCACTGTAATATGCAGCCAATATTAAAGCCTGAGATGTATTTGCTAAACATTTTACATATCAAAATGATGGTATGAATATCTTAAAATTCTTATTTGTTCTGCTAAGCTCATGATGACGTAGCTTTTAGAGAATACAGGGTATTACCAGAACAAAGGTCAAAGTTTTATCGAGCTGACAATACCTTTCCTTTGTGACTCTTATTCCCTTTATGCTAAGAAATTTGGTTGATGGAACGCAGCAGTGAGCCAATACTACCACTTTTCCTCTGTATGGGCGCAAGGGGTGATGTTTATATTGCTGCGGGACTTGAGGAGAGATTATGCTGCTGAGGAGAGTCACTTAAATCCCTAAGTTTTGTTCTGTTATTTAAATAGGTTTGTGTCTACATTATGGAGTACGACCCTATTAGTTGCAAAATGAACATGTGATATACAGCAACATTTATCAGAAGGATTAAAATCCAGAAGGCTCTTTCTTTGTAGCTGGGTTTGAATCGTGGAGTCCGGAGGAGATTGGTGGTTGTTTTGGAGAAGCAATTAGGCTGTGTGGCTGCAGAAGAGGATTGAGCCGAGCTGTCAGTCAGTGACGTAGATACCTACACTGTGAGCAGCCTGATGTGGATGTAACACAGTGCCTTTCTGCTGCTCTGTATGAGGTGCAAGGTGTGGGTTGTCAGCTCTGCATAATTGATTCCTTCAGCCTAGGTGAGGAACATTGTGACCCACCACAAGGTAATAATGCAGCATGAAGCCAAAGAGGGCAAGCACATAGCTTACACCAGCTGTGCCTTTCTTCCTACTGAGTAGTGTGACTGAAGGGCAAAGAACGCCTATGGTATATATGCAGCATTATTCTCAAAAAATAGCAATTTAATTTTAGACATCAAACCCAACTTCTCCGTTGTTCTGTTGTTTTTTCTTTTTTTCTTTCTCCTTTTTTTTTTCTTTTTTTCTTTCTCCTTTTTTTTTCTTTTTTTCTTTTCTTTCTTTCTCTTTTTCCTTTTCCTTTTCCTTTTCCTTTTCCTTTTCCTTTTCCTTTTCCTTTTCCTTTTCCTTTTCCTTTTCCTTTTCCTTTTCTTCCTCCTTCCCAAGAAAACAATTTCATTTAGACTTCAGACTGGTTGTTGACACAAAACAGCTGTAGTATTTGCTATTATTTTAAACTGTAGAGATTTGTTCACGGCTATCTGTAGATGTCTGAGGTGCTGTTTCTTTGCTTCCTTAAAGTTCTGTTAGTCTTACTTTTTTATATCATTATAGGGATAATTATGTTTCTGTTCCCCTCATTAAGTCACAAGCTGACTTGATTTTTTTTTTTTAATTTCATCCCTGGCATTTCTTAAATAAAGACAAATTCTGCACTCTCTATTTTTAGTATAAATGATTATAACAAATAGGATTTGACCTATATAGTTACAGCCAAATGTTACCAAAGCTTTGCTTTTAATTGTTATTTCAAGGGTAAAAAAGAATATTAGAACGAAAATAGGTGGATTTTGCATTTGCAGGCTGCCTAAGAGGTGCTCTTCTAATAAATATTACAACACATTTCATGTAGTAACACTTTAACTAAATCTTGTACTTTTCTTTTTGTTGATTTGTTTTTAGGATCCATACAATAGATTTAATGACGTGCTGTACAGGTGGATCTCACTGGATAACTGGACTTACAGCAGGACATTCAAAACTCCTTTTGATGTCAGGTATGCAATAAGGATGTGTATAAAATAGTTTTGTGACATCTTTCATGCAGAATTGCTGGTTAATCCATCAGCTCAAAGTCTGCTTCATACTTTTCTGTCTAATGAAACAAATTATGCAATATGTACAGCTGCAAAGCTGTTGCCAAAGGACACTGCAGGGGTTGCTTTTTCCCATTTTTATCTTCATTGTTAAAAATTACTTATGAGCTGCTGACTGCAGAAGAATAATACTTAAGCTAATTGGAATCTAGCCCATCTGGTATTTCATGGGTATGTGAACTTGCAGTGTTGCAGACTTTTGAGCCACTTCAGCTGTCATTTTCATTTGATTATTTAGAGATATAATGTAGCCACACTAAGTCAGACATGTTTGGATGTGGTTGATATAGGTGTTGCTAATAATAACTGAGACATACATTTTTATGATATGTTTTCTGACTGTTGTTATTTGTAGGTATTCTAACAGTGTTTTATGTGTATGTTGACTTCTGTAGAAAGTGGCAGAAAGTGAATTTGGTTTTTGAGGGAGTAGATACAGTAGCACACATCCTGCTCAACAATGTCACTCTTGGGAGAACAAACAACATGTTCAACAGATATGTAAGTAATGCATTTAGTTCTGAAAGTGCCTCATTTTTCATTTAAAGCCATTCTGTGCTGAAAACCTTCAATTCTTTTAAGTATGCATGAAAATAGGTGCTTGGAGCCATAAAGTGTTGACCTGAGAACTGCACATATAATCAGATAACTGCTGGAAAGAGAAGCGTGCTTGCCTTTTCAGTAGCAGCATCAGATCTAGATGTAACTATGTCTTGTTCAAAACAAGTGGACCCACACAAGAGGATGGGTTTAGCTAATAATGCAAATCTTGCTTCTTGGATTCTGTCACAGCTCTAAGAAAACTTAAGCTTAAATCTGTTTCATTAGCTGTAAATCTGCTTACTAGTTGCTATTAGAATGGATCACTTTTGAATGCTGAACTTAAAATACACATGGTTCAAAACTTTTATAAGGGTCTCCATTACTTCCCATTATACAGAGTTTTGATATTTAGTATTGGGCTTTTGATGACGTTGCTACATCTTCCAGCTCAGCCCGTAGGGTCATGAGGGTATTCATCATAGAATGATCTGGAGAGTGGCAAAAGCATTCAAACTAATTTTATAACTTTAAAGTGTTACATGGTTCTGAGTAGTAGTATAAGTTGATCCTCATTTGATCCTTGTCTTTCTCTTGAGGGAATAAAAAAAAGAAAATTGTTAGTGGAGTCATTTAGTTAAAATGGAAAACTGATGTCTTCATATCTCTGCATTTACCAATTCTGGCAGGTTTTATTGCGGGTACTGAACTGAGACATGAGAGCTAGATTCTGCCACCTGAGTCTCTGTGACCTGGGACAAATCACTCAGCTTCTCTGAGACTTAGTGTTGCCATCTGTGAAATGAGAGTTTTCATAGGGTTCTGAAGAAATCATGCAATATTTGGAGAGTATTTAAAGGACTGCTAGAAGCAGGCGGTGTAGAATTGGGATATGATATTAGTTTGCTCTTGTTTCTGTGACTTCATTCTGTATCAGATTGTTACAGTTCATGAAATGGCCTTCAGTGTATAACCAGAGTTAACTGTATCAGATTGAGTGTAGGATGGCTCTGACCTAGATTTCTGCTTTGTTCACCTTGTTGCACATGATAACTGTGTGCAGGAAGGTCTCTATGAAGGCTCTGTGTGGGTATAGTGCTTATGCTATGAAAGTGAAGTGAGTGATGCTAGCTGGGCTGTTCACAAGTGGAAGAAATCACTAAGATTTGTTTTGTCACAAATGAACACTATTTAGAAGAAATGAGTGTTAGTTGTTAGAAGCAAATTGTCTTGACAGCACAGAACAGTTCTGAAACTCAATATTTGCCCCTTTCCAGCCACACTGAAGAGGCCTTTGTGAGCCAATGAGAAAGCTCCCAAATTCTTTGTGAGGTGCTAACGTGAGATGACTGTCTGTAAATGTTTTGGATGGGAAGGGAGGTGGAGTAAAATACAAGTTTGCAACATTGATGCAAAAGTCAGCTCACCGGTTTGTGATAGAGAAGCTAGCAGCACAGTGTGAGTTGGAGGGAATCCTGTATAGAGCAGCCTTCTGATTTGGAACTAAGTGCCTTTCTAAAAAAATGCAGATGAGTTCTGAGTGAGGCAGGAGAGGAAAAATTCCCTAGCCATCCTCATTCTTCAAGCAGTTCAGCGTGCAATCATACTGCTGAAGCCTGCAGTGAGGACTCAGCATGGGCAAAGCAGTTTGTCCAGGCAGGTCTTGTATCTAGAATTCTACTGTGCATTTTGTTTTTTCAATAAGGAATAACCTTTCTTTTCTTCAAAACCAGAGCCTGTTGAAGCTTTAGTTCAAAAGCTTTTGAATAATATACATATGGTTTTAAAACCACATGAACCACAATGTGACAGTGATTATAAGTCTCATAAATAATGTCAGCACTGTAATGATTTTGCTTTGTTCTCTTAACCTAGAGCTTTGATATTACCAGCATGATCAAGGAGGTCAATTTTATTCAAGTCCATTTCATATCAGCCATTTCATATGCTGCAGAGCAGAGCAGATGTCACAAAGCATACAGCGTCCCCCCAGCATGCCCTCCACCTGTGCAGAAAGGCGAGTGCCATGCTAATTTCATCAGAAAGGTAGGTAAAGAACTCTTTGTCTTTGGCTTCAGGCGTGAGAAGAGGAATGTGCTATGTGCTGTCCTTACAGATGTATTCCAAAACCTTCAATGTCATCTTATTAGTAGGATGTATTTTTCATTTTAATTCTGTTCTACTGGATCCCCAAGAAGCCTGTAACCAAGCATGTAGGTAATGGAGACATATGAAGGCCAGGCTAACCACACCTACTTGGTAAGAATTTTTGAAAGGCTTTTTTTTTAATCAAGGAGTCAGCAAGGAGACTGGCTGCTAAGAGAGCAGAGTAGCACTGAAAAATGTGTAATCATTACATTTTGATCCACTGGGTGAGTTTAGCAAGGTATACTGACACTATTCCCTGTTACAAATACCAGTTTATATAGCCAAGGCTGTAAAAAATTCAGCCAAGCAGCTTTATGAGTGTTTGCTATTTGCTCATGTTCTGTACTATTTATACTGGGCAGTTCTGTCCTGAGAAGTGCTATCTAACAGAGGACCTGTTGGCATCTTATTACTGTGTGACTTTTAGGTGGGTATTCAGTGAAACCAACAATAATATACAAAGAATGAAACTCAGAAACTCTGACTTTATTGCTGTTCTTTGGATAAACTATAATTTGTGTAGCATCTCATTTGTTTATGACAGCTTTGCAGAAGCCAGGGAGAGACGGTGGTTAGGTGAACTTACGTAGGTCACTCCAGAAATAATACCGCCTATTTATTTATGTGGAAACTACAACACATACAAAGAGCACAAAACCACTATTTAATAGAGCAAACTCTCAGCTACAAATACTCTTTTTTAACCACCATAAGCTATGCATTTTTGCCAGTGATGAACAAAAGTCTGAATGCCGTGCTCATAAGAATCTGCATGACCATCTGGACTGTAGCTTGTCTTTTGCTTCACTGTCATCACTGCTGAAAGACATCACCCACTGCCTCACTATGCTCACATCCACTGTTTGGTCTCCATAAATGTTTAGCAAATGTCGATGAATGTCAATGGGTGCAATTTTTTTCAGCATGGAGGAATTCAGTTGCACATTTTTGCTTTGTATGCACTTGTATGTCAATTGTCATGTTGTCAGTCTGCCCCTCAGTTGCCATCTGTCACACAGCTACAAAATGTAACAGAGTAACAGTGGAAAGGTTCAACAACTACTGCGATAACCACCAACATCCCCTTCTGGGATGGGCCAGTGTAATAAAATAGGAGGCATTACTTTTGGAATTGCTTTTATTTATTTATTGCATATTTGTCTCCTCTTAAATGGCTTTCTTTTTAAGGAGTTTTAAACTTTTTTTAACAAGGTCTTGTAGAAGCCTCTCAAAGAGCAAGGAGAATCCTGTTAATCTAAACATGGGTGTAATTTGCTTTATATTTATTAATGGAAAGTTGTTGTCTGCAGAACATAAATCAGTATTAAGATGTTGTCTGTATCACTACTTGTTGCTGGTTTTTAAATAAAAATTTATTGCATTTCAGAAAGTTGATTCATTTAAAAGTCAATCCATGCTGTCTCCACTATGTTTCTTAGAAATCAATTCAGGGAGTAGCTTGAAAGGAAGAAGGCACTTGAGCAGCTGTAGTCTTATTTATAGAGCAAAAATGGCTAGGAATGATTTTGTACTTTACTGAACTATACTTCAAAATTTGTACAAAAGTACCTTCATTTGTTTTCTCAAAGGAGGTGCTTGACTGTACTTGGAAACTGCTCCAGACATTCCCAGAAACATTTGAAACATTTTTAGTTTCAAGTGTGTGGTAAAAGCAGTAACTGTCCCATTTAAAAGTAAACAAACACACTAAAACAGCTAAATGAAGCTGGCTGCTTATCATCTTGTAGTAATGGAGAGCTGAATGCATGCTTGAGATTCAGCATTAAGTGCAGTAAATGTATCTAAATCTTAACACCAATTTGTGGTGAAACACAAGTCTTTCTCTAGTAAACGGTTTTTATTGATATGAGTATATTGTTCTTACCATGTTATTTCTGATAGTCTCTGCAATATTATTGGTGAAACCTGACTGTCCATTAGTGATTCATTTGCTTATGTTTTGTAAAGGGAAAATTGCTTTCAGTCTGATTTGTTTTCTAAGAATGCATTGTCCCTATTTTCACACTTGAAATGGGTGCAGTGCTCGCTTCCTGGAAGGCTGTTTTGCAACTTGATAGGCGGGCAGACTGACTCCAGCGATGTAGGGGATAGGCCAGACTTGTGCGATGTGGTTTGCCAAAATTAGTATGCCTCAGCTGTAAGTTATTAGTCTCTAAATTTAGAACGATAGGTCACTCTACAAGACTTTAAGGAGATCTATTGTATTTGCTTTGAGGGCTGAGGCTGTGTGAAGCTTGGAGGACAGCTGAATAGATGTCTTTAAGGGGTTTGTTAAGTAGAGATCTCACTACGTTTGAAAAACAGCTAAATGGAAAGCAGCACTTCTGTGCCCAACAAGCATTTTATAATTCAGATGGTTATTCTCTTAGAATCAAAACTAGGGTATTCCTCGACCATGTTCTTGTTCCCTTTGGTTTTGTATGAAAGAACCATAAAAAAGGGGGAAACAGTGAACAGAACTGAACTGCACGAATAACCAGACATGCACATCTCTTTCCTTGTACTAATCTATGGTGTTACCATGAAAAATAGAGGTTAAAATATTTTAGATGTGCCCATGATGTTTAATAATTCTTTTCCAGAGCTTCTCTTGGTAATGATTCACTTTCTGCTTACTTTGTCTTTTACTTATGAAATTAAATACTGACCTTACAAACTAAGATAATTCAGAACAGAACTGAAAGTAACTTTCTGGCTTCCTTTTTTTCCATCTTAACATTTTATTTTATTTCTAGATGTTGGGAGAAGTGATTTACTCTTTTACTAATACTAAACTTCAACGTACGTGGAAATTTAATACAAAGTTGTGTTTTAATATAATACAGGCAGTAGCAACAGTGTTATGTTCAAGGAGTCAGAGGAAAGATACTGTAGGCTATTCTGAATTGAAGGAAATTGGAAAAATTCTTTCACTGCATGATAGTATTTCATTTCTAGATAGCAAATACTTTTCATTTCTGGTTCAGCATCAGTTTATGTGTGAAAAATAGGCAATTATAATGTAATCATTTTGTATTCCAGGAGCAGTGTTCGTTTAGTTGGGACTGGGGTCCTTCTTTTCCTACTCAAGGAATCTGGAAAGATGTGAGGATTGAGGCCTATAACCATTATCACTTGATTTACTTTTCTTTAACTCCTTTCTTTGGTAAGTCACTTTACTATCTTTTATTATTTTTTCACCTCTGGAAAACAAACCACTCTATTGTTAAGCTATATTAACTGTTCATTTAGAAAAAGGTTCTGTAGTTTTATTGTCACTTTGTTGTGCTTACCACAGCACACACATTTAGGTCTTGAACCAGTACTTACTACAAACAGTACTGATTAAAATGTTAGAATTCAAAATCTTTTTATGCTTGAAGATCACAGAATAACTTAAGAAATACTATATAGTGTAACTGATGTTAGTTCCTGTTCACCTGTTTCAGAAAAATTCTTTTTTGTTGGCATGTATTTTTACTCCCAATAAATGAGTCTCACTTCTGTTGCACCTCCATTTGAAACAAAGACAACGCTGCTATGGGAATTCAGTTCAGTGTTGGGAAGGCAAATGAAGAGCAAGCAGAATTTCAGGAGCACTGAATTTTCAGGGCACAATATGAATCTTGAGGCAAAAGAGCAGTGCTGTTATGCTGTGGTAATTTGTTAAGGCTGCAATTTGAGAGGACAGCCTTCTGCATTCTTGCTATCTAACTTACCCAACCGGTTTCTTCCCTGGATGTGCTCTTTGATTTTCCTCTCCTTTGTCTTGAAGATTAATGCAGCTGAACAAAGTAGTTAATTTTCTGTCAGAACTTTCTGCAAAAGGTAATGTAGCCCATTGTAGACCACCTGCACATTTTCACTGCCTGTTGATCCTGGTCTTCAGTGGAGTAATGGCTAGCACGTGAGTCCTCTGCACTGGGTTGAATTTCAGCCCTTGGGAACTGAGTTTTTGTGTAGGAATAAAAGAGGAAGACGTCACTCCCTGAATGCTTTTAAAGCTTCCTGAAATAGCTGCAGATCTTAGTTAGAATTAACGTGACTGGAATTTCCATGGAAAGCCCCAGCACAGGCTCTGTGCTCTCTAGAACTTAGTTACAGTAATAATCTTTTCTGGTCCCTCCCACATTCCCACAACTCCACCTTCTGGTAGGCAGTGTTACTCTCTGAACAGCTTAGAGAGCAAATCTCTTTCATTCTACAGAGAGTATTTTGGAGCCAGAGCCACAGCATATGAGTATCCATACGTAATAACATTTGAGAAATAAAGAGTAAATAAACAACTTGAATTTAAACTGCTATGTGCTTACATTGCTGAACAGATCTGGTGTCATTGCCTTTTGACCACTGAGTCTGTAAAAGATTCACTGTTCTTGATTTCTGTGCCTAGATACCACTTTTCAGCAGTAAATGGGTAGGCTGGAATTTCTTTATTCTCTTGGATGGAAGGGAAGATGCTCTGGAACTACCAACCCTCTGATAGTTTGTGTGGGTTTATCTTTTAAAGCCTCCAATATTTCTGAAAGTTCATCCTCCCTGGGTAATGCTGGGTGCAGTACAAACTTGCAAACCCATTCACTGCTCGTAGTTCTAAAAAATGCAGTAAAAGTCACAGCAAAGTTGAATGTAGTTGTTTGGTTTTGGAGGAAGCTCTCTTTTTTTCCCTGGAAGGAGAGCTAGAATATATATGTAAAAAGAGAAAGTAGGTGATGAGCAGCTTATGTATACAAAGTGTATCTCAGTTTTAGTTTTCCTTGTTTTCTGCTTTATAGACATTCATCTGTTATATAGGAATATAGGAATAGCCAGGATGTGCTGTACATATGATACATATTGCTGGGATAAGTGAGAAATTCAAACATTAGACTTGAGTAACCTTGACCCTGGCTTGCTTTGTTTGATAAGTTGTTTTGTAAAGGAGATGGCTTGCTCAGGTAGCAGTGGGGAGAGGTCTTAGACAAGTCATTGACTTATTTTTTCCACCATACTTTAAGAGCAGAAGGATGTAATGATAGAGCCCACCAAGTCTAGACACAGTGGGCCCAATTCATTCTCAGCATAACTCCATTCATTTTGTTTAGTTACTCTGGGGTAAATTGGGCTCAGTTTCTGTTAATACTTGTTTTTCTTTCATAGACAAAAGTGATTGTACTTCCTCGTGATTACAATCTTTCCTAAAGAGTACCATGTTTGTATGAGTGCTGACTAAAAGCAAATATAATGTATGTGGGAGTAGGTAGAAAAAAGAAACATTTTCCTAATGATAAAGTGGTTGGTGTAATATTCTCTAGCTACTGTACAAAACTCTGGAAAAGCCCTGGATAGCTTTGGAATGAAAAGCATTATAAAATATAAATCACATTATGTAGTTCCATTCTAAATCAGAAAATCTAATCTAATATCAAATGCACTAAGTAAGATTAACCTTGCAGGTCTGGTTCAAACACTCTGAAAATTGTTACATTTAATCTGAGCTATTTAAATTGTTTCTTTGATGAGAGATCACGTTAACTAATAGATACATAAACTCGGTTCCTGTATTCCCATTTCTTCTTCCCCTTTACTAAGTGAGTAGAGCTCAGCAGTGGAGTCTCGAAATTGAGTCCATCTTTAACGTAGCCAGCTCCAAGCCAATTGCAGGTCTTGCAACTGTGAACATTCCCAAACTGCAAACAGAGCAAACATACAGTGTGAAGCTGCAACCTGGTGAAGGCAGTATTGTGCTGCTTATAAACATCAGCAAGGTAAGGAGCTGTGCATGAGAGCTCTAGCCAAATGCAAACTGTACTGTAGCACGTGATTTTCAATGGCTCTTTCTGCTTCCATATCAGTTTCATCCTCTTCTTTCTTTCTTTGCTCCTGACTTTGACAAGTTCTGTAGCCCTTGCAGGATAGGAAAAAAGTTCTTTCCCTCACTTAAAGTTGTTTTTTGTTTTTAATCTGTGTAGCACAATGTCAAAAAAGATGATGAAGCCTTTCCCTTATTACAGAACTAAACAAAAAGATCATGTCCTCATGGCCATAAATTTTGTGTACCATATTTCACTTAATTCTTTTGGCAGTAGGTGTCTTGTCTTTCACGCCATTGTTTATCTGGTTGATTGGGACTGGAATACAATGCAAAGAAAAGAGAGGAAACATTTCTCAAACCTCTCAGTAAATACTCTTTCATGTAAATAAAAGCAAGAGAACCATGTGAAGAACTTGACTGGCAGTAGTGTTGGTGAAAGTTTTGTGTAGTAATTCTTTATATTGGCTTTTAGTCCTTTGAGTAGGCAAGGCCTAGAAGGAATTTTGGAGGTTAGAGAAAGCTCTAATGAAGAGAGAACTCTACTGCTTGTTATACACCCCAGAGATAGAAGACGAAAGAATGGGCTCACCTTCAGAGAGTGTTGGGAAACAATCCAGTGGCAGGCTTAAACCACCAGCATTATTTCCCTTCTTGAGTTCTTATGGTTTTTAGAAACTGTGTTGACTTTTGTGACATAGATGTAATTAAGATTAAGGCACTACCAGCTGCCTGTGATATTGCTGTCCCTTGGAGCCAAGCAGGAACTGTTGTCTGCTTTGCTGCCATAGGGCACAGCTAAGTTTGTGGGCAAGCAGGCTGGGGCTTCAGACAGCCCTGGCAGTAACGTCTTAATGCCTGTGATAACCTTTGGACATTATACTGGCCTTTACCAAAAATTTTCTCTTTTGCTGTGTAACTGCATTTGTTTCCCCAGCTTGAATTGTTATATGCATATTCCTAAGTTACCTTGTCAGTTGTTTCAGTGGAAAAAAAGCATGTTAAAAATGAACAGGACATTTGTGCTTCAGTATGCATGTTCAGTGATTTGCCTGATGATGTGCTTTGTTTTATTTTGACATAAAGCAGAAAAGCGTGTAAACATACGATTTTTGTTACTTTTGTCATCAGATGTGCAAGTTGTGTGAGTAATTACAAATACCTAGATCAGTTTTAAGCAATCATTAGTCTCTGCTTAGCCTTTCCAGATTACATTGAGCAAGCTTGACAATGTGAAGCTTCAAAAATGATTTATTTAATCACTCCACCCCGAACTTCAGAAGAAATCTATTAGTGTGGTGTAACTGTGAGCTTGTGAGGAAGCACTTCCTTCAGAACAGAAGCAAGTGTGTTATTATTCTTTGTATGCAGAGGGCTTAGCTGCATGAACTCACAGCAGCTGATTTTACAAGAAGCCCTGCAGTGTGTTCTAACATATTGACGAGCATAAAGGAGCACTTGCTCTGTACAACTGTCTGGTAAGGTGCTTATTAAACAGTGAGACATCACCAGAAATCTGTTTCTAGTTGAGAGCTTGTTGCAGATTATGTTGGAAAGTCAGTAGATGCTAGAGCAGTGCACATAAGCTGAGATGCTTATCCAGAAATCCCCACAGAAAGTGCTGTGTTGTTAATGTGACAGTATTTTGCTTATCAGCTAATGGTGAGCATGGGGATGACATCACTACTGGCCAATGAAACACTCCAGCTGTTCTAGGTGGCTGCAAATGCACCCTTGCTGTTGGGGCACACAATGATTTTGTGCTGCCATCTGTATCCATGCAATTCAGAGATCAGCACTTCAGCACAAGCAGTTATGATAACTCCAGGAAGGAGTTGAGGAAGCTGAAATATTTCTAAATACATTAATTATTATGTCCAGGTGTGGCTACAGCAAAACATATTGTTGAGCTGCTCTCTGGTCTCCCTTTATACAGAAAGATTGAGGCACTCCTTTCATGACTCTGTTCAGTGCTGATCCCTGCATTGTTTGAGTGCATGCGTTATTGCTTTCTTTCCACAATTTTTGTGTTGTGGAAATATTTGCTGGCAAATGTTGGCAATAGGACTGAGCAGCAGAAGTAGGTGACTGGAATGAAAATGCATGTAAGTGTAGGAAATTATTTATATAAATATTACTCTCTGTGGCTAGAAAAATGAGAAAATTAAATCTTAAAGGTAGCTCTTTTATGTTCGTGAAAATCTTGGAGTACTATTGAAATTATTAGGAAGCACAGATAAAAAGCAGAAAGCAGTGAAATGAGTGAATGAAACCTCTTATTTGAAACAGTCTGCCCACATACTACCAAGGTCACAACTGAAAAATGTCACCCCTGTAAATCTGATTTTGCATACGATAGGTAAACAGGCCAATTAGATGAGGGGTATGATAGATGCTAATGAGCAGTCTGCTTCTGAGACTCAGATATTGGAGTTTTGGAGAAATATTCTGTCAGCCAACCTCTCTGTCTAGACACACACATGCATGCATGTACATGCTGATGGCCAGTTGTGGACTCAAAGTGAAGTAGTAGCTAAGACACAAATGAAAGAGATCACACTTTAAAGACTTTTCACCTCAGTGCCTCAGCTGGAGGGATCCCACTTACCTTGGCTCAGCTGAGGCATGTAAACTCATCAGGTCTCTCGAAGGCAGCTGAGCCCCCCAGGTGTGTGCTTTGTCTTCATTCATAGAAACGTTCTGGTTTTTTCTCTTGCATGTTCAAGAACTCTACAGTAGAAACTTGGTGGCCAAATGGACATGGAAAACAAATTGGATACAATGTGACAACAACTTTCATCATGGAAGGAGGATATCAGATTGAGAAAATTTCAAAGGTGAGCTCTTCAGTTTGTTTTATAGCTGGTATAGCTCTACATGTCATGTATCTAAAGCTCTGAAGTGTTTTGCTGGATTATAATATGCATGTGAAAGCACTGATGATGAACAAGGGTTTTTTTAATGTCACAATGTATGTTTACCTGTTTTGTGGTAGCTTTAGCCTTTATAGGTGTCTTCACTTTCATTCAGACTGGAAGATGGCTCATAGTTAGTTAGGAAACATCAGAGGAAAAAAAAAAACTTTTAAACTTGATCAGTTGTGGTGATGTTTTTGTATTGTGTACTAGAAAGCTGATTTACATTTCTATAAACTAAATGTTGGGGAAGGTTTATTTATTGAATTTTTCTTGCTAATTCAGATAAAAAAAACCCAAAAACTGGGATTTGTGTATTCTTAAGAAGCTAACTTCTAAGTTTCTTTTGTTAGAATGTGATAGAAGTGCTTCAGGTTCTAGAAGAGGTAACATCTTAAAACTGACCAGAAAAGCAATATTCAGAGATAAGATATTTGCTTAAGGGTTTCTGCAACATACTGGCTGTATATTTATCTGATTGTTGTTAGTAATAAGCCCAGAAGAGATAATTTCCCACTATTTTTTGGAAAAAAGAACAAACAAAAAAACAGTTACAGGTAAGACTGAGCCCCTTATGCCATTAACATGTGGAAACAACCACATAAACATATGCATTAGGTGGTTCTGAGGTATATTGCTTCATTAAAATCTTGTCACCGGGCATCTAAAATTGCTATTTGCTGTAATGTTTGTTCACATAGGAAACCTTACAAAAAAACAGGAGCTTCTGGAGTCACAGTCTTTATAGGGCTAGTAGTAAAGTTGATTATGAGGTCCTAGGAATAGTTCTTTGCTATTATTGGTGATAAATCTTGAAAAAATTTGAAAAAACTATTCTAAATAAACATAGCATATTGTGCTTGGGAAAATAAGTAGGAAATATTCTAAAAGTCTGTATTTAAAAACAAATAAACACGTTATTACTGTGTAAAAGCTGCATGTTTTCTCATAGGGAAATTAATTGTTTCAGTTTGGGTGATTCCATCAGGATGTTTCATAGAGCCCTATGACATATGGTCACAGGGGTGTCATGGTCTACAAAAGATACTTATAAGCCTTTTTTTCCTCAAAGGGAAAGGCAGAAAAGAACAAACGCAGCACATTGCTGGCATTATGAATTAACCACGTGTGAAGATTCATAGTGCGAAGAGTAGTTGTCCTTCATGTGTTCTCTAAGTCTCTGTTTTGGATTTTGACATGTCCTTGCCCTGAGCTGTACACATGGATGAAGGCTCCATATGCAGTTTTTTTCTAGCACAGTTTGTCCTCACGTCAGCAGAACTGAATAAACTTTGGATAGTTCAGGAAACACTTGCAGTGACAAACATTTCTGAAAGTTTCTGTAAGGTTTTTGCTGGGAACCCGGTGCTGTGCTCTGGTGAGCAACTAATAGTTTTTTTTAATATTATGTCTCTGTATGGGTTCAGAGTATCTGTATACCTTTGGACAGACAGAAGCTAAAGGGCAACAACTGTATAAGTAAGACTAGGCAATGTGAATCTTATCTAATCCAGCTGTCTTTAGCAGGGACTTCTCTCTGTTTTTTTATATGTTAGTCTCCAAAACATAAGCTAATCCTTTGGGAAATCCTCTGGGTAGCCTCCCAGTTTGTGCTTGCAGAGACCTTTGGGGCTCTGACCCATTCTGCTGACTCTCTTTGACTGAGGAAGTACCTACACGCTGCTATTGAGAGCAGCAGAAAAACAAAATAGAATAGAGCCAACATCCAGGATGACGTGGGTTTCTGTTTTGGTTTTCTGTTTGAATACTCTATGTTGGACTTTGTTTCTCAGATAATATAAAACAAAGTCATAGACAGAAATTACCTTAGAATGAAATGGCTTTTCTTGAGAGAGGTTGAGTTCTATTTGCTATTGATAAATTCCCTGATGTAGGCATGGCAAGAAGAAAAGTATCTCTTATACTTTAGTATAATACTTTTAGTATTCTTTAGTATCTCTTTCACTGTCTTTTGAGGCATTTATTTGATTTTCGAATCAGTTTCTCCATCTTTCTGTATACCTATTTCTTCAACAGTATATTTCATTATGTCATGATACTATTTTAGTACTTGGATCTTAACCTCCAACCGTTGTTCCTTCCTTGTCTCTACACCCACTTCTCCCCCAGGCCTTTTAATGTGACTTCCAAAAGCCTCTCCATTTGACTTGGTAGTTTTCACACATTCCATGCTGCATGCTAGTTAGTTAGATCACTAGGGCATTCTGTGATCTTATTTCAGCTCTGGGCATCTCTGTCCTTGTTACTTTTCCTAGTGCTAAATCAAAGAACACCAATTGGTTTCCACAGCCATTGGGTACAAACCCTTTGTATGTGACTCAAAGATACATATCCGTTTCTTAATTGTTGAGAGAATCAGATGAGTGTTTTTCGGTGGCTAGAAAGCTGCTTCTCCATACTCCAAGTCTGGGAGAAATATCAGTCCTTGGAGAGCAAGATAGGTGATGCACATTGCAAAGTTGCCATGGTCAGAGCCATAAGGATGCATAATCAAATATGCCAGATCCTAGCAGTTCCCCCCTGCGTTTCTTTGGCTCTGCTTGGTAGAAGAAAGCTGCAGTAGGAATGGGAAGAGGTGCTGTATTACCAGGTGGGCCCCTGGGGAGCAATGGTTTGGGAGCACAAAGTCATCAGTCCCTGGGATCCTGGAAATCTGAGATGGGGCTGAGGAGCTTTTCCCTGTGCTCGTGCTGTGTGGGTGGTCCTGACTGAGTGCTCCAGCCTAAAAAATTGCCTCTGATTTGGCCAGTTGCATGAGTTCCACTTGAGGATGAATAAAGCAGTATTGCATTACTTCTGTTCGTAATATAAATACTCCACTAAAACTGCACTCTGAGACAGTCCCAACCTGGCTGATGACAGCCATTAAGAGGACCTCCCAAATACACGTCTATAAATCTCACTCCATTTTCTACCACAAAAAAAGAGTTGCACTAGAGACTAAAGAGTTTTTCTCAAAGTAATTTAGTTCACTAGAGGAAGGTCGGAACTTTTTAGTTAGTGTAGTACTCATGATGTGTGTTGGGGTTGGTTTTTTTTTTTTTTTTGTAGTCTTCAACAGTTAGAATAGTGAGAGTTGTATGATTACTATTTTTTTTTTTAGACTTCTCAGCTTAGAATATATATGCAAAATTCTATGAATGGGTGCAAGATTCCTGTCATAAAGCTGGTTATCATGCCGGTCTGTTTTCAGCTGACCCAGTCTGCAGCAAGATTGCTGTAGAAAAGAGGTAGAGGTTGGATACTGTGCTAAGCATTTCTCTGAGCACAGAAATATTGGCCAGGGAATCAGAAGTGTCTTCTCAGTGGTCTGATTTTTGTAAGGTTTTTTTCTGTCACTGGGAATTTCTTCAGTGTTGATCCTTTACAGTAGTGCTGATGCTGAGATCCTTTTGTGTTTAATCTAATGTTATCCTTAGGGCAACACTGTACAACACTACGGGACCTGAGGTACAGTCCTTTTTTTCCCCTTTAATTTGTATGTTCATTGCCCCAGTGCAGAGGGATTCAGTTTGAGATGAGTGATCTGTGGTCTCCACTCATGCACCTAGTTTGCATTGCATCTGTCCAGGGATTAAATTAATTGTTGTTATGATGCACTGAAGAGGAAGCAAAAAAAAAAAAAAAAGGTTCTTTTTGTCTTTTCTGTCTCAGACAGAAAATTATTTCCAATCTAAACAATTAGTGGTAAGCTAAAAATTCAATAATCACAGTCACACAGTGGGATTAGTTATGTCCCAGTTTAACTACAGAACTGTTTGGTGTGTGAAATAAAGCATTACATTTCATTTAAAGGCAGAAGTATCAGTTAATTAGGTTAAATTTAGCCAGGTTGACAGACAGATACAGTCCCAACTGTATCTTAAAGCAGAGAGAGAACAGTTTGTACTCTGCTATTATGTTTTCAAAAGGTCAGCTTGTAAATAGTCATTTGAGAAAGAAGTGGTTGCTAGCTTAGGGGTAGCCTAGACAAAAACTGTTTCCTGCTGTCCAGCTCCAAACCTGTTGCTTAGTGTGCACTGGCTGAAATTTTCTGTTTGCTTTCATTCACTTTATTCAGTTTCCCCACTTCCTCCCAGTGATAATGAGCAACAGGTACCAGAAGGAGAAAAAAGAAAAAAAAAAAAAGATTTCTTTCTGATCCAGATAAGTTAAAGTGGAAGAAGGTTGTGAGAGGAAAAAGTAGTAGAAAGTCTTTCTGAAAGAAGTGTATTCTGTAACACTTTGCAATTGCACAGGACCCAAATATGACAGGTGGGGAAGATACCTCTGCAAAATAAGGGTTTGGTGTAAGGTGTTACTGCAGTCCGTCTAGTACTGCTTCATGGTATTGCCTGTGTGTTGTGGCAATTTAGATACCTCTTCAGAGCAGCGCTGTCACTTTAGTTGAAATGAACTCTCCTAAAACACCCAGAATGATTTCTTGGGAAGTCATCTCTTACCTGCAGTTAGGAGGAATGTTTTGCTGTTTTTGTTTTTTTTTGTTTTTTTTTCCCTCCAGTGTTTGCAGTGCACAATACCAGATATTAGGCTGAAAGAGCAGCTGTAGAAGATAGTTTGGCATCTGCTGATATGTGCTTGGTGACTGTTTAGCAGAACTGGTCTCTGAGAAACCAGATTAGTGAGCATACTGTTCAGATACAGTTGTTAAGGCCAGAGAGACCTTCACTTGCAAACCAGCACTTTATTTAAACACATATCTTTTAAGGGATATCATTTCAATTCAAATACAGTTTTGCTTTTACTGGATGAACCTGAAGCTAGATGTTTAGGGGCAAGATCTCCACCAGAGCTTCTGCATTCTCCTTCCATAAGGAGAAAATATCAGAATAGTGTGTCTGATCTAATGCAGCCACTACGTTCCTCTCAGTGATTCCCAAATAGAATTTTAACTGAATTTTTGCATCAAATAAACATGCATCTGTCTCACACATACATGTGCAAACACTTAAAAAATTAATACACTTTTAATTTCTGCTTGAAAAGTACCATAAGAGATGAGGCTGTGTGTTCTGACTTCTTAACTTAAAAGTAGTCATTGTTTGGTTCAACCACTTGTGTTATAGTTTTGATTTATTTTATTTTGTCTGCTTTAAACCTATGTTTTATGTCTTCACAGGCCTATTTTCGGACAGTAGAACTTGTTCAGGAGCCTATTCCTGGGTCTCCAGGTCTCAGTTTCTACTTCAAAATCAATGGCCAACCTGTTTTCCTGAAGGGCTCAAACTGGATTCCAGCAGATTCTTTCCAAGATAGAGTGACCTATGACACGTAAGTCACATCTGATATTTTCTTAGGAGGAAGGATCACCTTTACCTCCTCATGTTTGCTTATCAAATGTTGACACTGGTGTGAGTGGACTCCTTTCAAGGTAGGTGTAATGCGATAGAAAGTGCAGAGCAGCAAGGTCACAGGCTGCAGCAAGCGAGGATTTGCTCAGAGCGGACACAGAAATAAGGGAAAGAAGCTGCTTACCTTCAGAAGGCCTTGGGTACGCAGAGATATCCAGCAATGTACTCTTGCCTTCACTGCCAATCCTTAAATGAGATCTGGGAAGGCGTGGATCCTGACTCCGCCCCTTCCAGTCACTCAGGTGCATTGCATGCATCTGAGCACCCCTGGATTGGCCCTGCCTTTCTACCAGGTGCTTAATCACTGTTTCAAACCATGACTTAGCATTTCCACTGCAGTAGAACACAAATTGCTGTGGCTAAGGCTCTCAGAATTAAGATTTAACATTGCAAGATCTGAATGTTGTTCAATGCTAGTAAGTGCAGTAGCTGATGGGAGAATGGTTATTTGCTGTCTGCAGGTTACTGGCCTTTCAGGCATTTTTAGGAGTAATTCTCAGGCTATCTGTTCCTATTGCCTGGAATGTAGTTGTTGACACTGACAGGAAGAGCACTTCAGCTATGTTCAAAACCTCCTAATGAATGGAGGGAGAAATGCACAGAAATCTTACTCTTCCCTATTTGGTCTACTCTTGGATTTTGCTGATATGGCACGCAAGAAGTGGGATGGAGGCCATGCTATATTTTGACTGGCTTTGTTAATAACATACAGTATTTCCATATGATGTTCTGCCAGTACTTACGTAAAAGGACTTATGTCCAACAATGAAAAGGCGCCTGCATGTTGTGCTCATAAAAAAAAAATCTGTGTCAGTGGAAGTAACCTTTTGTCTCTGTTGCCACTGCTGAAACACACCACCCACTACCTCGCTGTGCTCACATCTGCTGTTCGGTCTCCATAAATGTTCAGCAGGCATTGATGAATGTCAGTGGCTGCAATTTTTTCTGCACGTGAGGAATTCAGTGATACATTTGCTTCAAATGCACTTCCATATCAGGTTCCAGGTTGTCAGGGTTGTAAGTCTGCCCCTCTGCTGCCATCTGTTGCACAGCAACAAGATGGAATATTGGTAGAAAGGTTCAACTTCCACTGCCATACCACTACCATCTGCCTCTGACGTTGTGGGTCAACATAATGTAGTAGGAGGCATTACTGTTACAGCAGCTCTCATGCAGCTGACACTTCATTTATTTTGTGTTTACGGGACCAAGTAACTTTGTTTACACAAAAAATTGCTTTTTGAGATCTCTCTCCAGACATGCAGGGTTAGAAGGTATCAACATAGACTGGCTTCTGTCTGAATTACTTGGTTGCTTTTCAGAGATGAATGTTTGAGATTTTTTTTTGTGATATAACCTTAGAAACTGCTATCAAGGTTGTGTAAATCTTCTTATTGTATTTGACAGATTATGGCTACTCTTGAAGTCTGCAGCAGATGCTAACATGAATGCACTTAGGATTTGGGGAGGAGGAATATATGAACAAGATGATTTCTACGATATTTGTGATGAACTGGGAATAATGGTAAAAAAAACAATGATACAGGCTGTGTATTTGGAAACACGAGCTTGTAAATAAAAAACTACTGTAAACGAGTCAAATAAGAGAATTTAACACACAAGTTCTAACCATCTTTCCAAAGGATACATGGTGGAGTACCAATCTGAGAAGTTGGATCAACCTTCTATATGTATATATGGATATGTACAACTTATTAAAACGCTCATATATATATATAAAAACAATTATATATATATATATATATGAGGGTTTTTGTATATTTTTTATAATTTATATATATATATAAAATTTATTTTTGTAAATATATATCTTTTTAACTTTAATTGTTGCTCATTACTGAGGCTGTCTGTTGAAACTGGAAGTGATGTTTTGGACTGTTTATATTATTATTTTTCAATTAAGGCTACAAGTCTGCAGTCTTCATTTTTTTTTTTTTCTCTGCCACCCTTCTCTGCCCGGAGTCTCACTTTGATCTTCCTTTTCTCCCTGCTTTCTCTGTTTTTCTGCTCTTATATTCCCCCAGAATCTGAGCTAGAGGCTCATGCCTTGAATTCTCCGTCTTCTGTTCAGATCCGGACTGTCCAACCTCTTCCAGTTCTACATTTTCTATTCTCTTGGGAAGGAATGAGAGAAAGAAATGAGTGTCTGAATAATTGGTGTTAGTGACGTTACTTAATGCAGAAAGAAGACATTTATACTGTGATGATGTGGATTATAGTCCTGGAGTGGGCATCAACTGGGGCTTGCAACAATTAGTCGACTAGCTGTGAAACAACTACTGTATGGGAGGGAGTTATTCACAAACTCAAACAGTAGTAGTTCTGCCACAGCTATACTGTGGGCCTCTGTAGCTGTGATTAGGAACTAACTCATGTGAGAGTAGCTCTGCTGAAAAACCTGAGTGTTTCAGTATATGCCCCAGGTTTGAGACCTTGGAATCAGATCATTGTGAGGATTTAGGGTCTAATCTGTTTAACTTCTGTGCTTGCTTCTGAGTAATCAAAACATCAAAGAAAGTAGTCATGTTTTTCTCTACTGGGGAAATGAATGAAAAAAAAAAAAAATTTCTTTTACTCAGTTTTCTTTTTTAAATTTCATCTGGGCTGCATGGTAGACTTTATCTAAAGGGCCCTTTTGAACAAACTATAATTGAATGTAAATATAGCTGTAAGGGAACACCTGCTGTAAACACTGATAATTTTAGATGAGTATCTTTTGATTATACAAGTTTGGAGATACATTTTAATAAGCTTTGAAATAGGGACTAGATGAGTGAAGACTGAATTGCATCAGGTATTAAAATCCCAAGAAGTGTGTTCGGTCTTTGCAGCGTTAAAGAGCAGAGAAACAAAATTGATACCTTGCTGCCTTCTGCTTTATGTGCTTGCCAAAAAAAAAAAAAAAAAAAAGTCATCTGAATGCGTGCCCTGATTTTCAAGGCTTCTGAGTACTTGCAGTTCTTTCATTTTTGACACTAGAAATCTAAGTAGGCCATATAGATCTGTGCTTGGGCAATGCTCCATGCAAAGAAGTAAATCTTATTCAGCGCTGAGAACAGCAAATAGATATAGAAAATCAGACCCTTATTCTGGTGCGGGATGATGCTGGAGGACTTTAGTTTTATTCCTTCTACTGGTCTTACAAAGGCTTAAAAGAGCATTAGAGTCAAACTGTGTTTAAGGAGAAACAGTGATAGCTCACTGAAGGAAACAACAGGAGAAAGAGTAAATTTGGTACACAGAGTTTTGATTCCACAGTCACTGAAAGACTCTTATTAGTTCTTCAGCAATAGCCTTGCTTTTTCTTAGTGTGTTAGACTGGAACAATTATTAATAGATCTATTACACACATTTTTTCTGGGAAATAGGGAAAAGCAATGGCAAAATGTCATTGCAAGGAAAACAATTTAATAAGAGGCTGAGCTGGCTCTCCCTGTTATTTATGTAGAATGGCATTCAGAAAAGTGTAGTCTGTTGGAAAGGACTCACTATATTGATAAGGTCCTTCAAGTTTTCCATTTGAGATAGGTTATCAGGAGTTTAACTTATGACACTTAAAAAATAAAATACAGGACAGATAGAACAAGAATTCCTGCCCATCTCACTGGGCTTCTTCCTTTCTTTTTTTTCTTTTTTTTTTTTTTTTTTTTTTTTTTTTTTTTTAATTCTTCTTTAAGTTACAAATGAAGGAGTTTGTTGTTCTCTAGTGTTGTTCTCAAGATATCTACTTGATCTTTAAAGGAAAAGATCACCAGCTCTTAAACTAGATTCTTTGTTTCTGCCTCATGGAGCAGAATTTGCTCTTTTTAAGATCAGTCTGCATTTGTTGTGGAAGCATTTTGTTAAGAAATGTACTTGAAGACCTGCTAAATGTATTGATACCACATCAGAAGAATTACTTTCTTCTTTTAGTAAGTAATGGGGATTTGGTGTTACACATGCAAAGCATTAAATTTGAAATTGTTCTGTTCAGCTGGAGACTCCCTCATGGTCATAGCTGAACAGTGCATGGATTCTAATTATTCCATTGAAAACTATTGAAATCCGTCTTATTGAGAAATACTCTACTTATCAGTGAAGGCTGTCAGGAGCTACTATCTAAGGGTGAATATTTTGTAAGTCTTTATATTGAAGAAAACCACATTTGAGTATGATCATGATGAATGCCATGGAGAGTGTGATTGTTTTGGTGATGCTTTTCAAAAACAACAGATACATGTTTCAGTTTAATTCTCTTTGAGATAAATAACTTCTGACTTGGCAGAGTATTTTGCATCCCAGTAAGCATCTGTATTTCTAACATGAAAAATTATTTATTAACAGATTATTTTGTATTTTCTTTCCTATTTCTCATAGATTTGGCAGGATTTTATGTTTGCGTGTGCACTGTATCCAACCAACCAGGATTACTTGGAATCAGTAAGAGCAGAAGTTTCTCATCAGGTATTTTGTCCATGTGATCATAACCTAGTATTGACTGAGAGAATAATTTATGAGGGCTGCTTCAAAAGTAATGCCTCCTCATTGTGTTGGCCCATGACATCAGAAGTGGATGTTGTTGGTATGGTAGTAGAGATGGAACCTTCCTGCCAATATTCTGTTACATTTTGTTGCCGAGTAGCAGATGGCAGAAGAGGGGCAGTCTGATACTATGACACTTGACATGGAAGTATATATAAAGCAGAGGTGTATAATTGAATTCCTCCATGTAGAAAAAATTGCACCTAGTGACATTCACTGATGCTTGTTGAATGTTTATGGAGGCCAAGCAGTGGATGAGAGCACAGTGAGGTGGTAGATGGTGTCTTTCGCATCACTGTCTCACCACTGCTGAAACGTAAGTCACGTTTCAGCTGGCCTTGCAGATTTTTACAAGCTCAGCATGCAGACTCTTGTTCATCACTAGTGAAAATGCATAGCAGCTGATAGTGACTGTTGAAAAAGAGTGTTCTGTAGCTGAGAATTTGCTCTGTTAAATGGTATTAATGTGCTCTTTGTATCTGTTTTATTTTCAGTGAAAGTAAATAGGCATTACATTCAGAGAGACCTACACATCATCCTAGAAATGATTTGACAGTATTTGTTAATATACATTTAAATAGACACAAATGTAACCGTGCTCTTTAATTTGCTTCTAGTAGTGAGGCAGAAGTATAGGCTTTCCTCATGTTGAAACTGCTCTTGAGGATGTTTAGCGTGAGCTCTAGTAATATCAACTTGTCTTAGCACAGAATTTACCCTTCACCTGTGGCTGAATAGATGGGAATAGAACTATGTGTGTGTATGGTGGATGTGTGCCAGGATATTAAGTATACAAACATTTGGGTCTGATTTGGAGCGGGTGGAAAAATGGACAGACTAGGTAAAAACACGGAACTTGTAAGCCTAGCATATGTAATATGCATGTGAACTTATAATTAAAGTAGTAGCCAATAGATTATTATTTGTTTTTATTTTTTAAGATAAATTGTTTTGCTTGACTTCTGAAACTGAATTGTCTTTCAGGTAAGGCGGTTAAAATCCCATCCATCGGTTGTTCTGTGGAGTGGTAACAATGAAAATGAAGCAGCGATTGCAAGTAACTGGTTCTCCATACCACATGCTGACAGAGAAGTCTATATCAAAGATTACGTGATGCTTTATGTGAAGAACATCAGAGAAATAGTTCTTGCTGTAAGTGATTTCAAGAAAAAGTGGGGGGATGTGGCTTGGCAAAGTGATGTAATGTTTGCAATTTGAGCAACTTGGGATTTCTGTGCTTTTGTGTTGTTGGTTTTTTCTTTTGTTTAAATAATCTTTGAAAATGAAAAAGAGCATGCTATTGAGGAACTGCACTGTCCTTGCTTGTGTGAGCTACTCTTTAAAATCAGCAGTCATCCTCAAAACAAAACAAAAAATTGTTTTTGTCTTTAATGTCCTGAGATATGTAAAGATGACCTGAAAATGTAGACGATTCTGTCTCCTTTTTCTTTACTATTTAGTGTACTCCACAAATGCCTTCACTTGCAGTGGAGAAAAATCAACTTGCCCATTAATTAATCAAGATGATCGATTTCCTTTGTCTTGACTTTGTTGATATATATTGTAAGATGGATAAACAACCCTCAATCTTTCAATCGCAGTTGAAGAAATTCATGAAAATAATATTTTTCCAGTGTGTGTTTCCAAGTATGTGACTGGAGTGTTTGGCTAAAGTAGGTTAAACAAAAGGTGTGCCAAACTTTGTCCTTCTCATGTTCTTTGGTTGTTATATTGTTTTTTGTCATACATGGCTTTTAGGGTTTTTTTGTTTTGTTTTGAATACAACTAATGATGTTTTACAATATACAGAAACTAAATATTTGAGATAAACTGTGAATGTGCTGACCAGAAGCGCCTGAAATCAATGATGTTGTCTATTGTGATGTGGCACTGCTCATTTTGCACAGTTCTTGTAGAGTTGTTTCTTCTTTATTGGAAGTACTGCAGCTCATTGCTTCATAGAATCTATGTTTAACTAACTTTTGTTTGCGTATGTGGGGTAAAATTGATTCGGAAGTCCCAAATTGATGCTGCATAACTGTATAGGGATTATAAATGATCCTTGAACCGTGGATGGGTATTCTTAAATCCCCTTTATCTAAGAGATGTGCAGAATGGTTAAAATATTGCAAGAGCTTTGCCTGGCTAGTGAATGGTAAATGTAAGTTTTGTGTTAACCTAAAAGTGTTAATGGTCTTTTCTTAACCCAGTTATCCAGCATGGTGTTACTGTCTTCAAGGCTTGATAATGCTAGTCTAACTTCTGTCATTTTCAGGATGAGGTGCATTTTATGTTATGGGGCTTCATGATCTAAATTTTCCCTTGCACTAAGCTAGGCAATCAGTATGTACATGGCAGTGATGTTATTGCTTCTTATTAGAGGCTACTGACGTTGTCAGAGCAGTTGTACTCTGATTCATAGTATCTTTCTACTGGAAAGGTGTAGAAAAAGGGAAATAGTGAAAATGAGGCAGAGGAGTGAAAGAACTTGCCAAAAAGGATCTGCTTTTGAGAAATTGCACATTCTAAGTGTCTTACAATCAAAATGTTAAGCAAAAATATAGGTATCTGTATTTCTTAGTTCCTTTGAGCTGAGAGGCTGGTACAGATATGCTGTGGTGTTTCTGTGGTTGGCTGCGTGACTTGGATGTACCAGTGTGTGTACCACAGACTGAAGTATTCAGGCTTGTGATAATATTTTTTAGTTACAGTCCACTTGTGCATTATTTTGTCGAGCCGGGACACTCCTTTATTTTGAACCCCTAGATCAACTATTTTGAGTGTCAGAAGGAACTTAACAGTTAAATGATTTCAGGTTCTGTAAAATACACCTCTGCTACAAAAGCAGTCTGCAAGAGCTGGGGCTGATCAGCCTGGGGAAGAGAAGGCTCCAGTGAGACCTGGTGGTGGCCTTTTGGTACCTAGAGGGGAACTACAAGAAAGAAGGCAACAGATTATTGAGCAGAGTTGGTTGTGACAGGACAAGGGGAAATGGTTTCAAACTTAAAGGGGAGAGATTTATGTTGAATAAAAGAAAGCAAAGGCGATGAGGCACTGGAAGAGGTTACCCAGAGATGTGTTGGAAGCCCTGTCCCTGGAGACATTCAAGGCCAAGCTGGACCAGGCTCTGAGCAATCTGACTTAGCTGTGCATGCCCCTGTTCATTGCAGGGAAGCTGGACTAGATGATCTTTAAGAGTCCCTTCCAACTCAAACAATTCTATGATAATGTAAACCAGCTGAGGAAATCTGTAATTGCTGGCAGGACAGGACTGTATCACTTAAAATACTTCTAAGTCTGAGCTAAAGACTTTGGGGATTCTAAGGTATCCTGTAACAAATTGTACTTCAGTTAATTGTTAATCACTCGGATCCAAAATATTGGAGAGAGATGGCTCTATTCTTTCTTAAAATGAAGCATGTATCAACACAGCTTTACTGTGTTGGAGCCAGTTGCTGTAATCTGTGACAGTGGTACTTCAGGCCTCTGTCTTAGAAGTAGAGTGAAAAATGAATTATACCTGCAGAACGATTCCTACAGTGCTTTGTAGAGTACTGATAAAAGATGATGTACACTAAATCTGCTGAGGTTATAAATAAATGCTGCTCTGAATAGTCTTAAATGTAACTCCTGGTATAGTCTTATCTACTTTGATGTGCTGAGTCAGCAACAGTGACAATAACCTACAATGCTACTGTGCAGTCATTGGTGGCAGAATATCTTGGTTTTGTTGAGACTAAATTTAGGTGACTACTTAATAACAAAGAGGAAAAAATCATGGTGGTATTGCTCCAAAAGCACAATAAAAGTAATGATTTACGTAAAGAGGTCACAGTATTCAAATATTAATATTCTTTGGGTTTATTTTTCATGAGATGCACTTTTAAATAGCTTTCATTAAGAATTTAGAAGTATATAAAGATAGCAAATCTCTTGATGTGAGGAAAAGAATCCCTTAGAACAGTAGAGCAAGCAATATCATGCCTAACTGTCTTCCAGGAGGAGGAATAAGAAGCTAATTAAGCTAGTAAAGATGATGACTGTCACAGAGGATTGTTTCCTAAGTGGTGACTCAGAAATTTGGAAAAAGCTTGTTCTTTTTTGCCCTCTTCCTTTTCAGAATACATTCCAGATATTTAGATGATAAAAGCCAATCATTTTATAAGAAGTAGTGGTGATGTTTTGTTTTGTTTTTTTCCTAATCACAGGAAGATAAAAGTCGTCCTTTTGTTGTATCCAGTCCTACCAATGGTTTGGAGTCAATTAAAGAGGGCTGGCTCTCTGAAAATCCTTATGACACGCATTATGGTGACACTCACTTTTATGACTATAGCAGTGACTGCTGGAACTGGTCAGTGTATCCTAGAACTCGTTTTGCTTCAGAATATGGATTTCAATCCTGGCCATCTTTCAGTACGCTGGAAAAGGTAAGGCTGATCTTCCAAACCTTATTGTTTCCTCTGCTCTCATTTAGTGAGGGTAGTGAATCTCTTTCCAACAAATCATGACTGCAGCTGGGATAATGCAGTGTGAGGTGTGATGCATGGCAGGTGGGATAGAAGTGTGTAGTGCTGTGGAAGGAGGGGAAGATACTGGACTGTATCGTTCCTCAGTGGTTGAAAAATTTGCCTTGTCAGTGCAAGAAAAAACAAGTTTAATGCAATTAAGAGTGTTTATTAGGGCTACCATGATAGGAACACTAGGAAACAGTCTTGATTATTTTTATAATTAAATGAATTTTAAAAATTATTTTCTGTTTGTAACCAGTAACTGGCACTTTTCACCATTTGAAGAGCCCAAGAATCGTATATAGATTGAAATGTTAAGTTGCTGCCCAACCCTGGCCACTAGCTTAATTTCAAGTGGACTTGTCTTACGGGTCCTTCTTCCCTTGGATATGATCTATAAAAGATAAGCAATATTATCACTCATACTGAAACATTGGTGGCTGTGCCTGATAGATGGGAGAATGTTACGTGACTATCAATTTTAATATTAATTCTTTTTAATATATAGCTTAGTGATGATTGCCTAGCATATTTCTGTGGCTGTGTTTAGGTCCATTTAGAAATACAAAAACCACAACCAGTGCTGATTTGTGCTGACTTCTAACATTTACTACTTTTTATTGCTTTTATCAACTTATTTGCTAATATTCAATATATAAAGAAAAAAATATTGGAGAGGGTTTGGTTTTGTTTCCTATTAAATCAAGATGCTGTATATTGTTTGATTTTTCTTTTTTCTAGTTCAAGCAGAGATGCATCATTCTGTTTTTCTGTCCATTTGTTCAGAGATGAATATCATGTTGATATGCATGCATCTGAAAGGAGTTTAAAATGTTCCTTTCAGTTTGCTGGGTTAAGTATATTATCTGATACATAATCAGTATGATCATCTATATGAACAAAAATGAAAATTTTTAAATCAATCTGACCTACAGTAGAACAGATTTAAATAAAACATTTAATTACAATGAAAGCTTAACTGTAGAAGCTGTATGAGCTATAAGGTATTATTGTCCTTAGCTGGGAAAAAAAAAAAAAAAAAAAAAAAACCAACTGTTTCATGCTCATTTGGTTCCAGAGGCAGATTATTGTAGCAGTAGTTTTGAATGTGTATTACTAGAATTTATAGCCCTGCTAGCTTTTGATATTTATTAGCCTGGAAGGAATACAGCTTCTTACTTTCGAACATACAAAATGTGCGCCTTTAAGCCTACATGTATTTGACTAGAGTACATTCTTTCATCTCAAATAATTGTTTCTGATTACTGTGAACCCAAACAAATCTGTGGTCAAACTCAGTCATAGAACAAGTAACTGTCATGCTACTGAGCCTTTTGAGCAGGTTCAGAAGCATTGTCAATTTTCAGGTGTTAGTACAAAGAGTATGAGCAAACAGCATTACTGACTAAAAATTCTTCTTTGACTGCATGATGTGCTCTAAAAATGTATTGCCCACTTTAATGCTTTTGAGCGATGCCAGCAGACTGTAACAGATACCTTTTCCTGAATAACCTGTCAATCATCATTCTGATATTTTACTTATCTTTGTATAAGGTTTCCTCTGCTGTGGACTGGTCATACACGAGCAATTTCTCTCTCCATCGACAACACCATGAAAATGGCAATGACCAAATGCTTCAACAGATTGGATATCATTTCAAGCTTCCCCTGACCACTGATCCCATAAAAAAGTTTAAAGATACGATTTACCTCACTCAGGTAACAGTGATATCTTCAGTATAAGTAGCTGTTCCAATAGTCACTATTAGTAGTTGAAACTGGACCTAATCTGTTAGGTAATGTTCATTCATACAGAAACAGTTTCTGCACTGGAGTATTGGAGAGTCCAGTATAATTTGGAACAGGCTTGTCTCTCATTTGCTGTAGAGAATGCAGTTTTCATCAAAGAAGATCTGGAATACTTCTCGGAGAATTTTGCAGAAACTGGCTTAGTCAGGAGAAAGTCAGAAGTCTGTCTGTCTTGATCTCTGTCCTCTGCAAGGCACACTTACATTGCTGACTAGGGATGTAGGGACATTCTGGTCTTCCTTGGTAGACAACTCTTCCTGGGACTACTCTGTGTTATTCTTCATATGCTTTGCTTTTCATGTGGCCCACGTATTGTTTCTATTTTTGCCGTAAGGAATACATTAGTTTTTGAAACAAAATTATTTGTAGAGGCTGCAGTTGTCTGTGTGATCATAAGTAGCTTTTATTTTGTTGTTTTCTCCAATATTAATGCTTTTTTCTTTTTTTAATCAGTGGATTATATTTTGCTTTTCCTCTGAAGTAGTTTTGCCTCACACTTGCTTTTTTCCTTGCAATTTCTTTGTGACTTACAAATGATATTACTATGTTTAAAGTGCTGTTACTTTTTTGTTGTGTTCCAAGAATTTCAGAAATGCTCTTGATGGGAATAACTGGATTTGACAAAGTTTTTGATGTTTGAGAGCTGCTGTCAGCAAGTTTTATACAAAACCAAAACAGCTGGAGAACTTTAAGCACTGCTGACAAGAGAACAAGGATAGATGATGCTGTGAAATTGAAAACAGGGGTGAAACTTGCATAGTGAGGTCCTGACTCAGAAAGCTATGGGAGTTTCTGGAAAGCTATGGGAGTACAGGGTGAAGTCTGTAGAGGCTTTACTAACAAGTTAAACAATTTAAGAACACCGGAATTGCAAAAATGACAAGGAGAATAAAGTTGGCTATCAATGTTAACTATAAGTTTAATATTTATTCTTTAGGACAGCTCAAAGGTAACTTTTTCCTTCATTTTGTGACTTCTTTAACCATCCTAATTAATACTCTTTGTGATGAAAATAACTGGTTATATAGCTTCTATCGAGAACCTGACCAATGCAAAATTATTGAAAGTGTTTTTTAAAGATCAGATGGGGAAGCTGAGAAGAAACATGAATGCGGGTGAGAAAAGATTGCTCTTTGGGTGCACAATTTTGAATGTACAATGGGAATTTGTGTCTGAAAGTGTGTGTTGTTACTGTGAAGTCTGTGTTCACTGAGTAAATACACACACTTTGAAAGTAAAGTAGAGTAAAATAACTAATTTTTTAATGTGTTTGACTCAAGGTGATGCAGGCTCAGTGCGTTAAGACAGAAACTGAATTCTATCGTTCTAGTCGAAGTGAAATAATCAAGGGAGAAGGACACACAATGGGAGCTCTGTATTGGCAGCTCAATGACATCTGGCAGGCACCTTCATGGTCTTCTTTGGGTAAGTTTTGCAACAGTCTGATAAAATGTACCAGCCAGTCCTTGGTTTCTTCAACTGGAAATACCAGAGTAAGAAGTAAGGCTCTGCAGTCTCTCTTCAGTGACTTTGCATACTTTGTTTCTGTCCATCTTTTAGAAGTACTTCCCAGAAGAGTGTTTTATAGAATCATCCTACAAGTCTGCCAAAGAGGATAAGGAACGAAGCAATTCCTTTACTGTGGGTTTTGCTATTGAAGTTCAGATTTAGTAGCCACCAATTCATAACTATGTTCTAGAAGGGTTTAGCTTAGAGAATTTAAAATCCTATGTAACTCCTAATTCTTGAAAACATGTTTTTCATGTTTCTCCAAAGGAAATAAGGGAATCATTGAAGACAGATAAAGCTGTCTACTAGGAAACAGTGATGGTTAAGACTAGGGGGTGCAACCTCATTTTCCACACAAATTATGCTTTTTTTTTTTTTTTTTGCAAGGGAGTTTGTTTTTTTTTTTCCCTTGGAAATCTTTCTTGGAAATTTATGAGAAGTTCTGTCTCCAAAAGGGCCTGGAAATCCCTGATTATACTGGTTGACTCAGCTGTACAAAGGTGCACCCACCCACCTTGCATGAGAATAGACAGGGCAAGATAGGGAAGAGTAAGAAGGAGTACCTATATTTAAGATTCTGCTTTGCACAGTTGTATTTTGATGATTTTGTCCCCCCTGCCTCCTGTAGTAAAACCATGAAAACAGCTCAGTTCAGCAGGCAGTAGTGCATTGTTAAAATAAATAAATAAATAAAATTATCTATGGAACTGTGATCCTGTCCTGAAAAAGACTGGATGTAGTATCTAATGTTTAGACATCTTTATTTCTTCTATAGTCACTTGGTAGAGATGGTTATTGCATCCTCCAATGTCATGGTAAGTGAGATGAATTATCTTATCCCTGCAGAATTTGCTTTTCGTAGAACTTTATGACACCTCTCACGCAGCATATAGCTTCTGAAGAGTTCTTTGTAGAATAAGATAACTAGCTGAGGTTTGGTTTCTAACTTAATGTCAGGTGAGTTGAATCTCACTTTGTAACTAAATTATTCTGTTAATATGCTATTTAGCTAAACTACACGTGATATCTCCTTTTATTCTTTATAATACATATTCTTTTTAGAACACTAGAATGGAGTAAGGAGGCACATGAAGAGGTAAGGAATACCTCTTCATATAAGTAAGGAATAAGGAAGGAATGTGTGGTAGGAGATAACTGGTATGAGAGAACTGGCTGTGTTTCATATTTTGAATGTTTTGTCTGGAAGTCATTTTGAAATGGAGGTGCTGTTCAATGACAGTTAAATAGGATTTCAATTTTTTTTTCTTTTTGATTTTGGTTATTTGTCAAATATTCTGTTTTTGAAAATATTTCCTTAAGAATTTTGTGTGTGGTGAAATAAGAATGGATTAGAAAAACCTCGGAGGTAGTGTGAAGTTCTCGATCTGTCCTTAGAAAAAAATGCCATTTGGCCTTGTTTCAGAAACTTAGCTTACCCCACCTTCCCTGTCTTATTTTTAGTTCTCTGGGAGTGTACCTGTCACTTTTTAGTATTTATCTAGTTAAAGGAACAACCACTAACAGCGAAAAGCAAAGCAGTAGAAGTAGCAGACTATTTTATTTACAGGGGTCCAACTCTAACATTCTTATTGCTGGACTTATATGAGGAAAGAGAATATCATAATGCTCATTTTTGTGATTCTAGCAACGACTGTTCTTAGACTTTCAATGCCTCAGAATGAAGATTGATGCTTGAAAAAATATCTTTTTATAAAGACAGAGGTGTATTAATAGATGAAGTGATTGTGAAGACCATAAATGTGTATTTTCAAGTACAGAGCCGATGTCATTGTAGAAAATGCATCAAATATTTGAATTATTCATGTGTTGCTGAAGTTAGTTTACAGAAAAGAAGCTCAGCAGAGAAGCAGCTGTCCCTTTGTTTTGCTCTATTTCCTCAGTGGAAATGAGGAAAGGTTTAACATTCATTTAATTAGGCAGTGTAGTAGAGGGATTTTTTGAAATGCTAATAGCTGAAATTATGCAAAACTTCAGATAAATTAGTTTTATTTGCACTTCAAAAACGTGTTTCTGTGTCTTGGCACAGTGGTATCACGAAAGTGCCTCTTATTTAAATCTGTTATTTCACAGAGTCCCAAGGAAGTGGTTGTATAATTTCCTGTACCAAGCGGAAATGGTTCCTAGTGAAATGAGGAGCAGATATCTCATTTCAACTCACCTTCATGATTTTACTTGGAATAAAATGAAAACAGTGCGGTATTTCTGTCTGCTGTTCAGAATTTAACAGGTTATACTACAACTGGGTTTTATTTGTTAGCACCTGTTTGTGGAACACTTTGTGCCACATTGACCGCTTCAGCATGCGTGTTGTGTGTTTTGAAGAGTGCTGTGACATATGCAGCAATTTATCACCCTACCCCATAACTGTCACCTTAAGGTACCCAACTCAGTTGTCATGAGATTCCCTTGAAGAGAGAACTGGCTTTTATTGCAGGTTCAATATTCAAAGCCCTTGGTGAGGTGACACCGTAAGCTATTATGAAGAGTAATAGATTTGAATTTGTGAGAGTGATGTGAGTGAAGAACTACCTGCATACTTATCAGGTTGCATTTAGTGATGTGATTAATTGAAAATCTGTTCCAGGGAGAAGATCTGCTTGTTCTCACATGAGTGAGCTATGAGTGTAGATAATTTCTGGGAACAGCCAGAAAAGGCTGGTGACATGTCTTTGCAAACCTAATTTCATTTCTTTTTCTGAAGTTTGGTATTGCAAAGAGTGCAGACCCATGTTATTACAAGGAAAAAAAATGGGAAACTTGGATTTTCAAGAATTCATTTAAATGTTGAGGGAGGAGTAGAAGGAAGTGGAATAAACCACTCCAGGGCTGTTTTAACTAACTTTGGACTGTTATCTTTGTTATGCCTACCTGAAACAGGAAGGTTTAAGTAGCTATCCTGAGATATTTCTGGGTTTAATGTCTAGATTTCTGGCATTCATTTTTGGAGCAGGAGGAGTATTTTATATGCAACTTGCCTAATTTTAAATCAAGAAACTGACTCTGTGATGAGCTGAAAAATGCGACTTTTCTATCAGTGAACTTCAGTGCTGTCTGAAGTTACTTTGACGATGGTATTATCAAGATCCTTCTCCTGGAAAAGTTACCTTTAAAAGTCTCTTTCTGTGTGAACCTGCTCCAGCAGTCTAGTTTTGTTCATCAAGTGGCTGTAGGCTTTTTTGGGAAAGGATATATCAACCTTAAAAAGCTAATCTCAGGTAAGCAGACTAATGTTTGCAAACATCTTAAAACAATAGCTATAGTAGTTGAAACCTAGAATGAGTTTTGATATGGTAAAAATTTTTAAGTGTGTGGCTTGTTTGCTGTTGTTCACCGATTGTGGAGGTTTTTTTTGTTTGCTTGGTTGTTTTCTCTCTACAAAGGTATAATGCCAAGTTTACGCTGTATTGTTTCCTCCATAGTACCAGTTATCTGAGGATCTTTGTGTTTACTGCCTAGGTAGAAAACCTGTTTTTCCCTTCAGTAGCTACTACAGTGTGGTTACATAAAGAAAATCAGTCAGGAATCAAGGCACAGGGGAAATGGAGGGTCAGGCCCAGTAGAGGGTAAATAGGAATTTATATTATGCTAAGTTACAGAAACTGCTCTACTTCAGTTATTTTTGTACTTAAGACAAGCAGAAGTCTAGGTTTTCATCATGTAAATTAAACTAAAGAAAAAGATCAGGTCAGTGGGCACTGGAAACCTCAACCCATTTTGGGTGTCTTGTCTGTGCTTATGGAGGGCTCTGACTGAGGCCTACAATGAAAAGCTTCTGCTGCATGACAGTTGGAATTCCTGAAAGTCTTTTGGCAGTCCTGAAGACTTCCGAGATTTCAGACCCTCCCAGAGCCTGGGCTTTGGTGCAGTGCTCATTTCTCATGCAAGGACAGCTGCTATTATTTTTCAAATAAGATACTGGCTCATAGTTTGGTGTGTTTTAGGTAAGCCGTTCCCAGTCCAAATCTCTCATCTCCTCAAACTTTATGGCCCAAAAGAATAATTTGTTTGCACTCCTTGGTTTTGGAAGAATTGCACTTCAGACCAGCAGTGCTGTCTACCAGGAATTGTCTTCAGAATGAAACAACATGGCTTTGTTCATGTGCTGAGTGGCACCAATATGCTCACTATGTTCATCAGTGCAGCAAACTGCCTGTTTTGAAGAAACTATACAGCCTCTTCTAATATAATTTTTCAGGCTTTGTCTCTTCAGTTTGCCTCAGTACAATTAGCATGAATGCCAGTGTTATTTTGTTGGCAAGTCTGATCTTATAACACAGTTCAGTTTTTTATATGAATTTTCCAGGCAGGTTCAAGTTTTCTTGTCTGTTCACCCATCTAGCTGACTGCGTTGCGAGCTTGCTTAAAACGAGGTGATGTGCAGGGTACTGAGCTGCAGCTAATGCACTTTGTTCTCCATGAAGTTCATTCATGTCTGTCTGAAGTGCAAGCTGAGCATGTTCAGGTCTGCTTATGAAAGCCACAAACACACCCTTTCAAGACCTATGTTACTCTGGATATGAAGTCCTTAATTGCGAAGTGCTTACAAGTTAAAAACATCAGTGTGTTACTGGAAATACTTCTCCAGCATCCCTGAAGTTTAAACCTGCTGTATAAAACAAAGAACTGGGGGAGGGGGGGGGAAGTAGATATCTAAGTGTTTTTTTTAATGAGAAAATGCATCTGACTTGCTGCTTTTAGTGCTACTTCAAAAACAGTTGAGCAAAGAGAATGAAAATGCTGATAGAGGATACAAGGTAGAAAATAAATAGAGAAAGAATTATTTCAAAATGTTTGTGTGGCAGTGTTTCATCTGTCAAAGTTACTCTTTTTGGAGAGGAGACAGAGTTTATCTGTTAATGATAGACTGTCAATATTAAAAGTAATGAGGTATTGGCTTATCTACAGCATGTCTTCAGTAAATCCCATACAGTGAGCTTTATTTCTAGACCTTGCCAAATTCATTTTGCCAAACTTGGATCTGTCCTTGGTTTGAATGCTTGGGCTTCATTGCTCCTGGTCTTCTGGGGAAGAACTGAAAGGAGAACTGAGAGAAAGGGAAGAGAGAGATTAGGCAGGCCATTGTGTCTGTCTCCTTACAATGGTGGGTGTCAGTGGCAATGCCACTAATGCCTGTGTCTTTGCCTGTATTCTCAACAACATAGAGGGTCTAGCTGCATGCTTAACATGAACTATGCTGTGTCAGTTATGTTCAGGTCTCTCGTGTTTGAGGCTTTCCTTTATTGAATGACAGTGTATCAATGGTAGGACTAAAATTTTTTTTTAAAATCTGACTTTTTGGCAAAGCTCAAAAAAAAAATAATCTTTCAAGAGCATCAAATTCATTCCAGAGAAGAACCAAGCCTGAAAGGAAATAAGAATGACATTATTATGTTAAAGCAGCACCTGAAAGCACAAGAAGGTATTGTGTGCCAAGGTAAAGTTAGATTTTGTCTGAATCTTTCTCCCTTTTATCCCTTTCCCAGAGTATGGTGGAAAGTGGAAACTGCTCCATTATTTTGCCCAAAACTTCTTTTCCCCACTGCTGCCTGTGGCCTATGAAGATAACGGCGTGTTGTACATCTATGGTATCTCAGATTTTCACACAGACCACAAGCTGACCTTGAAGGTAAGTGACACCTCTTCAATTACTCTCATGTCTCTTGCTACAGAATGTCAGCTACTGAATACAGGAAAATTAAATGAACGCATCTTCGTATAGACAAACTTCTGTAAATCCATTCCCTAACTTAACACGATGCAATTTACTTGTGAACAGATGGTCTCACAGTTGAAATGGCAATTGGTGGCTTAATAGCGACCATGAAGCAATAGAATTTAAGATCTTTGGTGGTAGGAAGAAAACTGCCTCTAAAACCTCAACCCTGGATCTGGGGAGAGCTGATTTCAGGCTGTCTTATAGTACCCTGGGAAATGACTTTTGAAGGCATTGGAGTCTGTCAGTGCTGGTCACTTCTTAAGTGACACCTAAGTGTCACTTCCTATGAGCACAGGAACAGGCAATTCCAAAATGCTCAATGTCAAGCAGGTGGGGCAGAAGGCTGGCTTGGCTGAACAAGGATCTCCTAGAGCTTAGGAAAACCTGTAGAAAAAGGTGTATGGCTGCTGGAAGCAACATCAGGGATGCTGTTGCAAGGAGAACATTTGTGTTGTCAGAGCTTAGTTAGAGCTGAAGATGAGTTATGTCAGATAACTTTGAGCGACGTTAAGAAATCCGTCTATTTGTCTTTTTAAATCAGGCAGAGGAACTTGAATGAAAGAAAAAAAGTCAACAAATCAGTCACTTAATAACTCCATTTTTCAGCACACTCCTGAGAGGAATTAGCAACACCATCCTCTCAAGGAGCCTAGAGATTTTAAAAAACAACAACAAAAAAAACTTTACAGATGAGAAGAGCAACAGATCCAGACCGACTGCAACATACATACATGTTGTTAGATTTATGTAATGGTCTTATTATTCAATAGTGATTGTTTAAATCGTTTCTTGTAGAGTTTCTTGCTAGTAGAGGTGAAAATCATCTGGTACTGTCAGGAGAACAACTCTTCCAATGAGTATCAGGAAATCTAGGATACTGGGTTGTTTTTTGCAGATGTAACTTTTCTTGTGCTAAGCTTTGTGGTGTCTGAACAGGTCATTGTGAACTCCTGGAGTTCTCTGGAGCCAGTATGCACTCTTGCCAAAGATGGTGTGACTGTTAAAGCACAAAGTGCTTTTTCCATCTACAAGGAGTCCATAAATGCCTTGCTGGAAAGATGCAGAAATTGTACCAGGAAAAGCTGTGTTGTTTCTTTTTACCTTGTGGGAGAAGATGGACTCCAGAGTCCAATGAATCATCACTTCCTTTCATCCCTGAAGGATGCTGTAGGATTGGAAAAGACACAACTTAGTGTAAGCCATCTTAAATTACTGTATTTGGTTTTGCTGATCCAAGTATTTTGAGTTGTTTGCCTCTTAGTTTCTGCTTCCACTGAATGTTCTGTCTCCTTAGCTGCAGTAATTTAGCTTCTATGTAGAGGAGTTCAAAGTCATGTGGGTTTTTTTTTCTGTCACCACTTGCGTATCTGACTAACACTGTTTTTTCCATGTATGTTTGTTATTTGTTTGTTTTTTTAATGATGAAGTCTCCATTTCATTTGTTTTGTCATTGTAGGTTGGTACCAGGTTAAGGTAATTCAGCTGAGTGTGTAGTACATTAGTGTCAACAGTATTTCTTTTTGAAGTTCTCAAGCTCTTTTAGATCAGTGTAACGTCGCTAACATGCAATATTGCATACTCATTTCCTTGTTCTGCAAATCCCTGCCCTCCAGACATGGGTCTAAGATTTGCCTAACAGTGATTGTTTCATAATATCTGTGAAGTGTGGCAGTCTTCTGAACAGACACAAAAGCATTCAAGTGTTCCATGTTTGCTTACTCCATTTACTGCTTTTCCCTGCATTTCTCCTGTTCCTTGCAAGCTTACTTCTATATAAGTATATGCAGGCTTGCTCTGTGTGTGTGTGTACATACTCATGCACACACACAAATTTAGTTTAAGCTTCACTTTTCAGTATGTAAATCGTACTGCAAAATTCTTAGTCAGCAGAGTGGCTGAATGGGAACCTATGTGTTCTCACATGTGGCTTTCAGACTGCAGCCTTGCTCTTTAGTGCTAAACTAAACAAGGGGAGAATAGAGGTCTTTAATCTCTTTAAATCTAGACCAGCATAATTGCTTTACAAAAAGAAAATGGGCTAGATTTTCCCCTCTTATCTCTTTGATGGCAACAGGGCCTGCTTTCTGAGTATACAAAGGAAAGAAACCAGTCTGTTTTTTATTTATTTTTTTCAGCTGGTGGCACAATCTGGAGTCTGAGTCATGCTGGGTTGCTTTTTTATATTTTGAGGATGACATCACCAATAATAAAAGCTCTGCAACTGGAGCACTGCTGGGAAATTTCATGCCTTTTTCCCATGGCTGCGTTGTCTCTGCAGTAGCAGCTAGTAAGGATAGCTAGCAGGGATAAATGCAGAGTAGGAATTTTAAGAACATATTTAGCTGTGATTTAAAAAATATTTCTGTTTCATGAGAAGGTGGTGCTTCTATACATAGTTACTAATAATCTAACTAGACTTTCAAATATATTGCTAATCCAAGTGCTACCCTTCATAGTGTTGCTTACTGTTTCTTCAGTTAGCACAAAATACAAACAACATGTATTTTTTCTTAAAAATTAAGAGTTGTTTTTCTTTTAAGCGGGATGTGTCTTTTGCATTTTTTGCTCTCTACATATTGGAATTTAAAAACAATGTATCATAACATTTCTTGACAGGGAATGGAGACTGCTCTGTGAAATTTTATCCTGGTTGTGCTTTTAAGCCTAAGAGAGATTAACTGCTGATAGAACTTAATATTAGGCCTTGTTCTGATATTTCACAACATAGCTGCTTTTTCAATGTAGCATAAAGACTGTTCTGTTAGGAAGAGGTGACCTCTTGTGTTGCTGTGACTTTTGTCATCTTTGCATCTATGTGGTTCTGTTACTGATGTAATCAGAAGGACCAGCTACTTTAGAGCATAAATTTATAGGTTATATGTGACGTATGTACGTAAAGGGGGAACTCCACAGTAAATCATCACAGTAAGTTTAGGATACAAGTTCTGAGTATAAATCATATTACTATTTATTTGGTAATTTTCAAAAGAAAGCAGAACACTCCTTAGTTTCATTTTTCACAACACATTTTCTGTGTTGTTCTGAAGAAAAGCTATCATCAATGTTTGCGGTTTTTGCATGATTGTATTTGACCTTTTAGTTCCAGAATATATTACAATAATATAATGGGAAAATAAGAATAACTTTAATCAAATGTGGTGTTTTCTTTTTTTCTTCCAGGCCACTGTATCGCAACAAGATGATGTCTATATATTTGATCTTCAGACTACTGCAATTGCTCCTTTTGTTACTCTGGATGTAGGGAATATAAAGGGCAGGTTTAGTGATAATGGTTTCCTCATGTTGGAAAGGAAGAAAGTGGTTATTTTTTATCCTTGGGAGCCTACCAGTGTTGAAGAACTAGAAAAGTCGTTCACCTTGACATCTTTGATGGACGTTGCCTAATGATTTTGTTCTAGATGACAAGACAGAGAGGAAAAACTGGGAAGAATTTGACTGTAGTTGAGGTGACCTACAAGATGAGATGACTGAATGTTTTGTTCTGTCATGTGTGAATTTTAACTGCTGGTTCAATGTAAAGATAGCAACAACACAGCTTGCTTATAATATATGTGGTGCATTGAAAGTAAGGCTTTCTTAGGTAATTACGTCCCACACAAAATGGGAGGGGTTAGTTGGTGTAAGACTCTTCCAATTCATGTAAAAGAAATTACTGGATTGTAGTTCTCTCCTAAGTCAAAGATAACACAAATATGTACCTCTAGACTGTGTTTGTAAAAATATATATTTTTTTCCACTTTCACAATGCTATAAGTAAAAAATCATCCTAGGATTGCCAGAAGGTAAGGAGGAAGGTCAGGGAATGAAGCTGAGACCACCTCCACAGGCCAGAAGAGTTGAACAGTGCATTTTTTTCACCCACCTCCCTCTTAGAGTGGTTTGTTTCATCTGCAATAGTCCTTGCCCCATTAATCTGGTTGCTTGTGCAAGGCCTTATTTGTGAGGCCAGGCTGAGGAAGGAAGCTGGGAGAAAGAAAGAAAGGGGGGGAGCACACTGTCGCACAGTGCTGGCTGCTGCTCTCTGTGTACCACTGCCTCATTTAAGTTCCTCTGCATGCTCCTCATGGCAGTGGCAACAGGGGGCCTGGAGGTGTTCAAGAAGCATGTAGATGTGGTGTATGGGACATGGTTTAGTGGGCACGGTGGTCATGGGTTGATGGTTGGATCTTAGAAATCTTTTCCAACCTTAATTATTATATGGTTCCCAGACAGCTGCAGTCACAAACTTTGTTTGCTCATGTGGATTCCTGCTTAGTGTTGCATGGTATGAAGTGTGCCTCGCTGTGGGAAAAGAATGAGAGAAAAGTTGGCAAAGGTGCAAAGAGAAAGGAAGCAACAGAGAAAATAAATGGTTATTGAGAGGACCACAGAGTTAGAATTTTCTCCTGTTTCTCTGCTAAATGCACAGTGCATTGCTTTTGAGTGGCCTGTACCTCACTCTGGGCCTCCTCTCCTTTCAGAGGAGTTGGCTTGCTTGTTTATCAAGCAAATTGTGTCATAATTCTGTTGTGGTGTGTATGTTCTTAACCTCTTGTGTGTATGTTACCTCCATAATGTTATATGGACATAATCAAAAGAAAACCTGAACATCTTTGATTTGTTTCTTTGTGTATACCTTTCCTGTTGAAAACATTACTTACTCATGATTAGATCTGGGGGTCCATTATGTTTGTTAGTCCATACAGAGTAACTGTGTATCACCTTTTACCCTGTTTCTGAATAAGTTGTTCTTAAAATGTTTTGGCTTCCCATGGAAATGTCTCACTTAGGCATTTAAAAATAAGAAAATAAATGTGCTTCAGTGCAGGGGCTACAGCAGTCTGTGGAGATGATAGCAGAGGATTTGGTCATCTGGAAGTCCAGGTCATTAAGCCGTGCCTCAGGCAGGTTGATAAACATCAACTTCTTCTTTCAGATGTGATTTGAAATGCAGCTGAGATCTTGCTGGGCTTCCATGGGGAACCTGTTGCAGTGCAACCACAGCATGCATTTTCCTGTATTTTTCTACTTTACAGTAGAAAGTGTCTGAACAAGCTGTGCTGGTGACATCCACCTCTGAAGTGAAAGCACAATGTAGATGATATTTGCGGGGGGTGCTGGGTTATGGAGTGCATGCAGGGAAAACGATTATGTGTCACATTGGTCAGTTAGAAAAACTGAAGTAAAGGGTTGCTTTGTTGCAGTGGCTGCAGTTCTAATAGGCAATAAATAAACATCTTGACAGGTGTTTGGTGATCTGCAGCTGTTTTTGGAATGGGTCATTAACCAAAATGAAGAGAGTCCTGAGGAAAAGAAAAAACTTGAATGTGGAAGTAAAATGATTAATGGAATTTCCTTGCAAGTGCTTTACTAGGTCATCAAAACAGCAAACTGAGCATTGGAGGTCTTTCCTGATTCAAGAGTTGTTAAAAGAAGATGTGAAATAATTAAAATATGTTTATGTGCCAATATTTACAGATTACGTTAAATAAATAGGGAAAATGATAGCCATGAATAAAACTTTACAGAAAATGCATGTGTTGATAACCTCATGTAAATGGTACATGAGAGGCACCCTGGGCCAAGAATAGAAGAAAAATCCTTTAGATTTTTCAGTGTCTTGGAATCAAGTGGAATCATAACAGCAATAGAGCCCTATATAAGGTAAGGATGGAAAAATGTAACCACTATGCAGAAAATACGGGATAAAAATTATTAATAAATATTACTGCAGCATGTTAGGAAAAGAAGAGGTTTATCAGTATCTTCCCATCTGCTTTGATGTAGAAATATCTCTTCCAGGAACATCTAGCTAGAATTTCAAAATGGCACTTAATAGCGTTCAATAAATAAAACTAAACTAAATAAAATTACTTGCTTCAAAGAATATTGAGAGGACTATCTTAAGACCAATGATATTTGCTCTAAGTGCGTCTTGGAATATAAATGAAATTTCAGAGCCATAGAAGAGAGCTTTTGGATCTTTAGAAGCTATAAACAATGAACTTGGACAGTTGTGAACTTGTTTGGCCTGCCATGAATTCTGGGCAACATTATGAAAGTATATGATGTGGCTCATTGATAATGGTAATGGCTGTGCAACCAGTGGCCATCTGCAATGTTATAAACAAAAATGCTCTTCTATAAATGTTATTCTGCTGTTGTGTTTTGCAGTTACCAGATTTCTGAAGGTCAAAAGCACCCTAATTCTGTGTCCATTCTTTCTCACTGGAAAGCTGTTACTGAGCACTATGTACTGTTACAGAAAATTTAAAATTACTTAAGCCAAATAGTTGGTCACAGAGCCAAATTTAATGGAGGAGGTTCCCTTACATTATAGTCTTTATATCCTTATTACGTTCTTTTGGTTTAATGGTGTTTCAGTAGATTTGTATTTATATATGCTATTTTCCTTGCTCCCTACTGCAGCAGTCACTGTAACATCTACCTTGGTTGACTATTATCCCTTGGTGTTTTTGCTGTTAAATACTTAATTACATTGTTCTGCTTTTGTCTCAGATCAGGGCAAGGACAAGAACACAACAGCAAAGAGATCTTTGGAGTATCCATCCTATCTACACATCATCCATAGCCATCTGAGTGTGGTTTCAGCGGCTCAACTGCACTTGTACTGCCGGGTGTATCTGATGGGTTGGGGATCAGCAGTGGTTGGATTAGGAAAAGCATTGGTAAGTTTGTGGTGCTTGTCTGCAGTGTTGTTCAATTATTGGTGGCCCTACCAGTATTCTTTCAGCCTTGCAGTACTTTGTCGAGGGATTGCTGGGTTTGCTCATGCTGATGTTTTTTTCTAATGGCTGGAGACTGCTTCCCTGCCAGGCTCCTGCTGGGCTGTTCTCCACAAATGACAAAAGCAGCTGTCAGAGTTCCCTTCAGCAGGAGCCATGACCAGTACCCTGCCAGGACAGAACTCGAGAGCAGCTTTTGGTAGAAAGCTGTATGGTTTTAACTAGGGCGATGTCCTAAAACTGGTCTCTGGCTCCAACTTTGCTCTGAACTATTTTGAGAGTTGCAGAGATGGTCTGTCTGATGGTCAGGGAGATGCAGAGAGCACCTCTGTTGATACTTTCTGCCACAAAAGGAAGGCCTTTTTTCCTTTCTCCTTATTTTTTTTTTTCCTTCCCCTTAAGTTTACCTCTAACTGTTTTTGAAAGCTTTTCTGGATTTTATGTTCCTGGTTTTCAAGAGGTGTGTACCTAGAATTCATCTCCAAATACGTAGCTCTTTGTCAGTGTGTGTTGCTTGCATAGCCTGGAGCCTGAACAATTTGTCTGCTTTAGGGGCACATCTTTCTTCAGCACTTCTGTTTCTGTTAGTACCAATTCTGTCTTTGGAAGTGTGTAGCAGAGTCACTTCAGTGACTTATAGCAGCATCAGTTGCAAGGGAGCAGGAAAGTGAGATTCTTGTTCTCAGAAAAGAACAGTTAGGGCTTGCTTTTATAATGCTGGAGTCTTTGTTTTCCTTTCTTACCCTCTGGGGGAGAAGTTGAGTAAACCAGGACCTTGTTGTTTGAATGTTTAAGGGCATGTTCCAGTCAAGGAATCAGATGTCAGAGAATAGTGAAATGAAAGTCACTGTTCAGTGTAATTAGGGATAGAGAGAAACAAGTCTTAAGTGAAAAATGCACAACCTTAAAAATTTATTGGTTTCGTCTCTGTCAACATTGAGAAAAGGCCATTGTATGTGGCTGCTGTAGGCCACGGGATAACCGACAGTAAGTCAGTCGCAAGTATTTGCAGTGTGTAATGAAGCCTACAGATCTGCTTGCACGCTTCTGTGTTGTGAAAGTAGCATGGCTAAATGGATAATGGAAATTTTTTTTAAATTGGCTTTCCCACTGGCTCATTTAAGAGTACTATGGGCTTTGGATAATGTACATACTGCAGCCTAGTTCTAAGCAGGGCATCACAGTAGTTCATAACCGTGGATACAGAAAAGCATCTCCTGGAATTAACTTGTGCTGTCTTTTGCTTGTATCTGTAGGAATCTTTTGAATTCAGCAAAAGTTTGGATGAAACTTGCGGCAGTCACTGCAGGACTGCTCTGCTTTAAAAGGATTGTGTGCTCCAGAAGAGCTGTAAGCTGTGAGTGAGTATTGGCCAGTTGTGTCTTGAGCTAATGAATGGTCACCACTGTTCCTTTTCACCACAAGGGAGGGAAGATTGCTTTTTTCCTTAAATGTAGGAAACAGCACTTCACCAGTCCAGGAATGGGAGAAAAGGCATTTCATATACCACTGTAGGATAGGCTGGTAAACAAAAGTCACTGGAAACTCATATCCATGGCAGACACTTTAAAAACAAGGTCAGTTGAACTTTCTAAATAGTCTTTTTTGTCAAACATAGAGAAGATCTGTAGCGTTCTGTTGTCACACTGTATTTTTGCTCTGTTCCCTATTTTTGGTGTCCGGTACTGTGGTACAGGAGCAAAACAACGCAGCAGATCCCAATTACTGCAAGTGCAGATCAGGTGTATTTCAGATTTAGTTTCTTGCTGTAATTTATAGTTCAATAGTGAACTTGACTGGAAGTGTTTAAAGGTTACACCTGTCTATATACTAGGGGGGATGGGGGGGAAAGCTTAGTTAAATACCTTTGGAGATATTTCTAGATTAATCTCTGCCAAAGGAATAGGAACTGTGACTAGCACTCAGAGGAACAAACCCCCAATGCAAACATCTTGAGATGCCTGAAGTTATTAGTATATGCATTTTGGCCCTTCCTCCAGCTTTGCCGTTCTATTGGCTAACAGCAGTGCACTCTAGGCCTCCTGCGCGCTAATGCAGTAATGCTTGGAGTAAATAGGAGCTTGGCAGATTGCTGGAGCAGTTTTCCTAAAGGTTCTGTTGGAGAAAAGGTAAAGGTAAAAGTAACTCCAGAAATCCTATTTTGAAGAGAAATACTTAGCTTTTCCAAACTTTAGTTAATAACAGGGTCTTGATTTTTGTTTCTTCAGGGCTAATGTGGAGTAGAATAGGGACAATAGCCTGTGCTACAGGCCTGTAACTGTACTGGAGGAAAACATGAGTCAGCAATGATTAGTCCTTGTTATTACCCTGTGTTGGTGTGGCCAAGTCTTCTCAGTGTTGGGTAGGGCAAGGTTTCTCCATAACCCAGTTATGCACAGGAGCTCTCAAGCAGTGAGCTTCTGGGTTCTCTCATTTGTTTGACCTGTCACACTTGGGAAACAGGAGTAGCACTCCTTTCTTGCATAAGGTCACATAAGAATAAATCTGTATTTAAGGTGAGCTGATGGGATCTATAAATCTCTTAGTGGTTACCTGTTAAGAAGAATACAGCTATTCAAAATGTTTCTGTTGAGACTTGGATGCATACTTTTTTCTTGTAAACCATGCTTCCTCTGCGTACACTTCTTCCTCCAATCTGCATGGAGGCAGCAGTGTGCTTGGGCACTTCCCCTTCAGTGTGGTGCCTGCCTCCTTCCAAGTGCCAGAAGAACAAGGCTGTGTGCCCTGCAAAGAATGACTGCCTGCTGATAAGAGAAAAGGTAAGGCAGAAAAAGCAAAGCTGTGTGCATGAGCATTTTCTTTGAATTAAACTGAGGTAAACACAAGGCTCTCCAGTAAATTTACTCTGCTGGTTGAGAACTGTACAAAAAAGAAACAAATACCTCTTGCACTAGCCAGCCTGACACCTGTAGTGCTCCATTGCCAGCTGTTGGGTTCTGCCTCCTACTCTTGCCTGCTTCTCCAAACTGTGGGGCATACCTATAATACATGCTTAAGATGCTGAGGGTTAAAGCAGATGGGAGAAGTTATGACCTGACTCTAGAAATGTAGTGTTCCTGTTTGAATTAGTGAGCCTACATTAGTATTTTTCTATTGCTAAACCAAAAAAAAAAAAAGTCTGAAGCTTCTGTTGCTGCAAAGAAACTGCAAGAAAAGATGCCAGCCTGCCACTTAAGACACGTGTCTTCTGGTGGTTTAAAAGCAGCAGAGGGCCAAAAGCAATGCTAAAGGTGGTCATCAACAGCCAGCCTGCCTTGGTGACCTGCAGGATTGCAGAAACCTTGATAAAAATCTCTGCCACCCCCTCCAGGCTGTGATGGAAGTTCTGTGCCAGAAAGTAGGTGTGACTCAGTGGCTCTGACAGGGACAGAATATGAGAACCTTTGCCCATTTCTGCATTTAAAAAATAGTTGCAGCTAGAAATGGAGGAGGAACACTGGACAACTACAGTCATCAAACGGAAGTCCACACTGCTGCATTCATAGGCTGTGCACGTGGTAACTGAAAGAAAGCACTGTATTTTTACCATTTTGTATCCTGTTTCTCTAGAATTAATTCAGCTGGATATGAAGTTACTTCAAAGATTTTTCACTGATTGTGACTTTATAGTAGTGTTTGCTGTAATGAATGGAAGTACTTTATATTATTTTATTTATATTATCTCCTTTACCAGGAACCATATCCACATTTCTGAAGACTGAGGTCAGCCAAGAATCATCAGTGTGTCAAAAGCTCCACCTCTGTGCTATGGAAGCTGGCTATGGGTAAGTGATATGACAGCACTTTGCATTTTTATATTAAATCTGATAGCTGTTCTGTATCTGTAGTAGGGGCACTCACTGGGATTAGCTTGAGACAAAAAGAAATACTCCTCAGAAACATGGTTATAGAGTTGTTTCAGGTAGTCCAAGTAAGAACTATATCATTAGTTTTGCTGATAAGCTGAATAGTTGACTTCAGCATCAATCAATCTCTGCTGCCAGAATTATGAGAACTATCAAAGACTACGAATCAGCGGCTTTAAGCCCATAGCACAGATTCTCAGCTGCAGCTGATTCTCGTGGTCTCACTCCATACAAGATACTTAAGTTTAAGGACAAGGGGCTTGCCGCCTTTCTTTTATTTTAGTAGTTGGAAATTGCCAGAACTCAGTACTAGATCTTCTGTAACTAATTGCACTTGAAAGTTATGTAAAAATTACAGCAAGTGTAGACAAGATTTAATTTTGAGTTTTTATTATAAAAGTAAAATAAAAATAAGCTTTTAAAAAGCACACATTTATTTTTTTTAAAAAGGAACTGATATAAAAAACTATTTACAAGTAGGAAATGCAAAACTTGATTTTTTTTTTAAAGAGGCACCAAAGCTATGTTTAAATACATTATTTGAAATATACAAGATTCTCTCTCTCTTTTTTTTTTTAGGATTCTTTTGTCTTTCAGAGTTGTCACTGTTGTGATTAAAGTCACTAGTTTTCTTTACAAGTGATTTTAGGAGCTTTTCCCAGACAACTGTACTGCAAAACTTCTGAAGGGAACAGCCAGAAACCATCCTTTGATTGCTATGTGCTTTACCTCTTTGAATTAAGTGAGCTGATATTACACATTAACAAGGAGTGACTTTCATCAATAAAAGAAAATCCTTGCAAACCAGGTGAGCTCCCTCAGTCCATCAGTGTCCAGTCCTTTGTATTCATGTGGCATGGAGCCCTAGTTCTCAGATGTGGCTTATAAATGGATAGTACTTGAGGAAGGAAGCAAGCGTGAGGAGTCACCACTGGTTCAGGTTCGTGTGTGGTTCCTCCAGTGCATTTCTGGTTGTGAATTTACTTCCCTCCAGCTGTGACAACATCAGTGTAATTCTAAATGTTGGGGTTGTTCCTGTAACTGCATATATTGCTATTTGAAGTTACCTAGTTGGGTATATAATTGCTTTGCACTGAGCTTTCCTGGCCGTAGCCCAGGGTCATTTTGCTAAGTGTTACCGATGACTTGCTGTTCAGAGAGTCTGAATAAGTAAAGCTCAGTTTGCGGAAGGAGGTCTCTACCCCGCTGTCACACGTGCTTTCAGTGTCTTGAAATTTATGATTATGAAGTTCACCTGAGAGAGAAAAGGGAAATCAATTAGTTTGTTTTACTTCAGTGACATCGTGAAAGGCCAGGGGAATACAAAGCAACAGGTTACAACTCTTGTATATGAAAATAACTGTAGCTTTAGGTACTGCTAGTGGAAAAGGCTGTGCTATTGGCACAGGCTAAATGTTTTCAGTTGAGCTGATGCGCTGCTGTCAGAGATCATTTGCAGGCAGCATTTGAGTGAGATGCAAAGCCTGGTCTGCTGCTGACATGAACATTGTCACTGCATTGGAGTCAGGACTCTGCCCCAGTGGAGTAGCAGCAGGGCAAAAAGTTCTCTGCATCTCAGATGCGTGGACTGTGCAAGTATGCAGCTCCAGGATGAGGCTCCTTAAAACGCTCATGTTATTTCAATTGCTGATTTCTGAGGTGTTTGTCTTGAACAATTTTCATCTAGTTATTAAAGTGAGACTGAAATACAAAGCTGTCATCTGTGTAAGCTTCATAAAATAAGCACCTGAGTGCGAGAGAACTGTATCAGAGCTGAAGTGAATAGAACAGTGGCCGGTGTATTACAGAGCCAAGTGGTATTTTTTTAAACATTTGTTTTAAAAAAAAATGACAATCATGTTGCAAAGCAGCAGAAACTCCCTTTCTCTTTAAGAATAGTCTAAAGAGGTAATATGTACGAACACACTTTTGAAAGGTGCAAATGTTTGTTCCATGACTAGCACCGTTAGCCCAGGACACAGTTGCTATGATTGATTCTTTGAGAAGTTTATGAACCCCAAACATCTGTGTTTGTCTAGATTGGGTGGAAGAAAGGGGCAAATGAAAATATAATGGGAATGTGTATAAACCTGTGAATTCATTCTCTAGTTTCTTTTAAACATCTAAGGAGTTTATATCAATAAGTGGCAGATGCCCACTTAAAGGAAAAAGGAGTCAGTTATACTCAATACTGTAGTACAGGACTACAGGTTAAAATTAGCCATTTTCCGTCTTTCTTGTGCATCTAGCAAATGTCAACTGAGAAAGACCTACATGGTAGGTAAGCAGAAACAGTTAAAGAGCTCAGACATGATGGGTAAGAAACTCTGCTGTCTATTAGCATTCCAAAGCAAGGAGGGAGAACTAAGAAATGTTAACTTTACCTGTCTCTCCCTTTGCAAAATTGGCTGGTGATGATGAAGCAAAAGCTTCTATTGTGTTGTCCTCCTGGTGAGACCGACTTTGTGAACTAGATAGTGCGTTCTGAATTACTTCAATAGCTTCCGTGTGATCCATCTGTCTCAAAGCAGCAATCAGCTCTTGAACTGTACCTCCAGAAATCTAAGAGAGAAGACAGCAGATGCTCACAGCTTTATCCTGGCTAGCCAAAACCAAAGGGCTGCAGTGTCTCACTGTGCAGGACAACGTTCACTGCACAGCTGCATGTCCTTTATAACTAACTTGTTACAGCCACATTACCTTATAGTTATCTAGCAGAGTTTTCGAAGGTGAAGGGCTCAGCCTGAAGGCATTATTAAGAATGCCAAGACCCAGCTTTTCTGCTAGAGTAGACCAGTTCTTGCTTGGATCAGGTGTTTCCAATAGCTTGTAAAGCTGCTTCTTGGAGCTTTCGTTCAGCTCTCTCAGAGGGCCTGGGGAACAGAAAAATACGTCTGTTATGAGTCACACACCAGTTCATTTCTAAGCAGAAGCAAAGCCAAATTAAAAACTATTTATTTTAGCATCCATTGGTATTTACTAATATATTGCTGTAATATTGAAAACGTACAAACTTAGATCCTCATGCCATGTTTCTTAAGAGAATCTTGCTCATTCAAAGCTTGCAGTGGTATTGAGTACCTCTTCTCCCTCCCCACCTCCCTTACAAGCTCCTGCAGTGCAAATTCTTCTGCAAGAATACTTTGGGTAGTCAGCTGTTCATTACCAAGGGGATGCCAGGTCCTCTTTACAGACGTTACCTTGTGTCAGTAAATCCTCTGAAACTGCTGCTGCTGCTATGTAGGGTTTGCCATTTAAAATGTCATACACCTAAGAGAATACATTCAATTTAGTATTTAGCAAAACCTAGTTATTTGTCCATAATTTTGACAAGTTTCAGTAGTATTGTTTATAGAGTACTGTAATGGCCCTTTTTAAATTTTTTTTTAATAAAATCATTTATACCTTGAGGGATAAATCTGTAAGTTCATCTCCCTTGCCTTTAAGCTCTGTTGTCTGGCAGTTATTGTCAGGATACAGAAGCAGCCTGTGCAGTAAACAAGGGACTGTAGCAGTAGATGAGTGAGGAGTTAGCAGCTATTTCCAACTAGTAATTTGAAACAAAGCCTGGGCTAGATTTTCCTCTTTTCAGTACCACTCCTCACCCTAGCTCCATATGATCAGGGATGCTGGCTACTTATATGCTCACATCATGCTAGCTGCATGTACTTGGATACTGAAGCTCAAACCATGTAATCTAACCAATGTTTAGGTAAGACACAAAAGTCTATTTTCACTACGTATCACCCAGTCTGCAGTTCTAAAGACCATGCAGCAGAGAAACTTATTACAGTGTCTCACCCTGGCCCCGTAGACACTGAACATGCACCTTCAAGCACATGCTGCTCAATCCGCTGGATTCTTTTCCATATTGACAACCCCAGTGCAAGTACTTAGAAGAAATGCTTGTTCAATCCTGCTCAGCAGAAGTAGGCTACTAAGAGGAGCTTTCTTCTAATACTACTTCACTGCTTATTATGGCTCAGTAGGTTTGTTTTTTATGTCAATCAGGTGCTATAGAAGTTTGTCACTATTTAAATAACTAGATGAAATGAAGCAAATTGGCTGACAAAACTGAACTATTTTTTTTTTTTTTTTAAATACTAGAAGACAACAGACCACATACCTCCCAGTTGGCTGCCATATCCAGTGGCGTTGTTCCAGGTACAATTCCTTCATCATCATCATCTTTCACATCTTCTTCTACATCAAAGAGTGGCTCAAAGTTCTCAATGTGAGGATCTGCGCCTGGAAAACAAGCGTGCAAGAAA